TGCTGGCTTTAAGTCCAGTATTAAGGAAAGGTTTGTTGTGTTTGATTAAGAGTGCTTCAAGAAAGGCGAGAATATGATAGTTATTCGATTTAGTTATGTGTAGAATTCTATAGTTATTGAAAACTAAGTTCTCAATAGGAGAAGGGTTATTCAAAGATAATGATATATCGTTGAGTAGTGAGAACTGGTTTTGTAGTGTGGCTAAGAATTGAGCATGCTCACACTCAGAGAAATGTTGGCCTACTGCACTGGAAGAGAGCCTAGTGGAATGCTCTTTGCGTCATGCCAATATAGGTTTTCCCGCAGCCAGGGCAAGCGACTTCGTATACTAAATTGCTACGAGATAAAGAAGGAAGTTTGTCTTTGTTAGAAACAAAATAAGACAACCTTTTAGTGTTGTAAATAGTGACGAATTTCACCGGTTTGGAAAGAAATCTTTGTATTTTATTGAGACATGATTTAAGTAGAAAATCGCCCCGATTTCCGAGATAAGGTATACGGATCCAGATTTTGGGCAATAGATTATCATCCGCTTCATGAGTAACTGTATTGACAACAGGAGTGGAATTTGGAAAATACTTAGTTTTGAGTTTATTTAGCGTAGAGTATATAACATTATTAGCATAACCATTCCAAGACATGAAAGATTTGATGATTTTAATTTGACTATTGAAAAGCTTTTCCGAACTACAAATTTTAAAAGCACAGTGGTAAAGGGATTTCACCCAAGCTGTTTTGCGGTAGAATGGCTCGAAACTAGAAAAATGTGAGTACTGACCAGTGTGAGTGTCTTTACGACAAACGTCAGTACCATCGACCGTGATTTTTATGTCTAAAAAATGTGCGATACCATCGGGAAAAGTGTCAACTGTGAAATTGAGGTTAGGATCGAAACTATTAAACTTTGTTAAAACACAGGAAATATCGGAAGGCTTAATTAAGACAAGCGTATCATTAACATAACGTTTGTAAAATTTTATAGTGTTATCAGCAATTAATTCAGAAACTATTAATCTCTCAAACTCCGTTAGTATGATATTAGCTAAGACAGGTCCTAGTGATGAGCCCATAGAAACGCCGTCTTTTTGAACATAAATTTGGTCATCAAAGGAAAAGGCTGTTTTGTTGCAACAATCCAAAGTGCGTTTTTGCATAGTGGTGTTACTAACAATTTATCTTTGTAAATTCGATCTAGAATGATGTTGACTGTGCGGGAAAGGGGAACATTAGTAAACAAAGACTCAACATCAAAAGAAACAAGTTGATAGCCATCTTGAAACAAATGTTTAGGGATGTTGTTAATAGCATTCACCGCATCAAATGAATCAGAAAGAGAATAAGAGTTTAAAGTGAGAGGATTTAGTAGAGACGATAAGAATTTGCCAACGTTATAGTGAGGAGTGTTGGTAGTGTCAAGGTGTCTCCCACTTAATGCTCAAGGTCTCAAATTACCATTAATAACAACCATGAGAGTGCTCAACTCCCGAAGGAGGGGCTAATTATATTTCGGTATGTTTAAGATATTGTTTGTCTAAATTCACGGCTGCCGGATCTACTAGATAGCTTTCGGGATAGGAAGCGAGACATGCGCAAACCGTACCGACAACGACTAGATGGCGCAAACCCTTTTCCCCGACATTGCCGCTAGGTTGTTAGTTGAGAGTGCTCAACATTTAAGGAGCGAAAATATTGACTTGTTTTGATAACCGGATATTGAGTAAAAAATCTAGACCTGTCATAATCCTTCCCCTCACCAATTTCACATCTCAGGCTTGGGACTGAGCAATGGCTGGTTTAAAAGGAGGAAGGACAACTACAACAAAGATGACATTTATTCATTTAGTTCATTCGAGGTGTCTCCCACTTAATACTCAAGGTCTCAAATTACCATTAATAGCGAGCTTAAGCAAGTGACGTTTTTGACAACACGTACGTTGACCGGAAGTAAAGTTTTTATTTTTCACCAATCACAATTGTTGACCCAGTCTTTTGGCGTTACTCATGCCGTTTGTGTTGTCAAAAACGTCGCTTGCTTAAGCTCACTAATAACAACCATGAGAGTGCTCAACTCCTGAAGGAGGGGCTAATTATATTTCGGTATGTTTAAGATATTGTTTGTCTAAATTCACGGCTGCCGGATCTACTAGAAAGCTTTCGGGATAGGAAGCGAGACATGCGCAAACCGTACCGACAACGACTAGATGGCGCAAACCCTTTTCCCTGACATTGCCGCTAGGTTGTTAGTTGAGAGTGCTCAACATTTAAGGAACATTAGTTGAAACTCGTCTTATTAAGTAAACGGAAATTTTTGGTGACATACGCCCCGTGTGATATACAGGGTGTCCCAAAATAAACGAAAACTATTGAAATCACTCATTGTTAAAATTTGAAAGCCGTGTTCACGAATTTCAGCCCGTGGGGATTTAATGCAACTTATAAAATGCTAAATGCTTTGTGTTGCTAGAGAAAGGGGACATGTCGAAGTTCATGGTCCTTGAAATGCACATTTAAATAATGTTATCCATATTTGTAAATTGTAAATATTGTTAATAAATATCATTTTTGCGAACAAGCAAATTTGACTGCATCATATGCATGCATAAAAATGCTTATGGCAACCCCGATTTATACACTTGTGGGCCCAACAGAGTGCTTAGGCATTCAAACTCTAACAAAGGCATTGTTATGGGTGATTTCAATAGTTTTCGTTTTTTTTGGGACACCCTGTATAGTTTCATGCAGGTGACAAAAATCAACAGTATGTCAACAGTATGTAGTGATGTCTGCAAATTTTCATCGACAATGTTTGTTCATGTAGTATAAAAATGTTAAGTATATATTTACCTTCCCACTCAGTTTTTGGTGTGGGAAGGTTTTGCTTTATATCAAACGGCATTATACAGTGAGGGAAACGTGCATGAGTCAATCATTGTCTGTTTTGTATAAACCAGGCTACTCACAAAATAAACGTGATCCATGCTCTTGTGGGAGGAGTTGAGACGTGCGTGGGAGAAATCACGGCAATACAGGGTGAGTAAAAAAAAACTGACACCTTTGAAATTCAAATTAGCTGCAATGTGTCTGTAATAGGCTGTAATGAGACAGAGGTTGCCTAAAATATCTTATGGGTATAGGAAGCATATCAAATAAGTGAACCCATTAATTAAGTAGAACATAAGTTTGTTCCCTTTGGGAGTTAAAATGCATTCTAAGCTCTGTAATAAAAAAGAACGCGGAATTAGTTCAATTGGTTTAAACACTTTTGCATTAATTAACCACGTTTAGTTGATTGTACACAATGGGAATTGTCAAGTTCCAGCCATAAGTTCGCGGCTAATTTGAATTTCAAAGGTGTCAGTTTTTTTTTACTCACCCTGTATATAAGAAGTACGGCAATGCCAAGGACCACAGAGTTTATTGCAACTGGCTATAGGAGCAAACAGCAGAAATACGATGAATATTCTCAGGAAGATCTTGGTTCTCATATCTTGTCTAGTTTTTCTGTCTGCAATTGAAGGTATGTGGATGCTACTGCTTGAAAATATTCATCCCGCGTAACACTCATGCAAACATTTTATTTGCTTTCTCCTAATTACTGCTTAATATTAAATCAATAAATGTTCATTTTCTTACATAATTTCAACATACTATTGGCATTGCGCTCACTCCAAGCATCATTTTGTCGTTTTTCCAGTCCTAAAAAAACGTTTGCCGTACGTGTTTTTTCTACATATAGCGAAACGTCTAAATCTCGGTACTTGCATTTTTTTACAAGCCAAATTTATGGACCTGGCTATATCTATTTAGCCACGACATATTTGATAAGTATATTTATTGCTTCATGCACGCAGCTTTACTGTTAAGCAGTTGTTAATGAAACGAACTTCGTAATTATTAAAACCAGTATCGTTATTAAAAAGAGCATTAGTGCCTATAGTAGTCCCTGGGACATAAAGTTGTCCTTGTTATGCATGTTGATATGATGTTTGATGTGATTTAGTTTTGGTTCTCTAGTTTTTGCCTAGTTGCACATTGCATAGTTTGCGAGTGATTTTTTAATCTGACTTGCTTAGATCCTCGCAAGCGGCTCTTTAACCTTAGCTTAAAAATATTGATTCATTTTTTATCGATTTAATAGAAATCAGCAACTTTGCAGCCAGAGTAATTTTACAATTTTGTTTAAAATAACTTAATTATAATTTACATCAATTATATTATTTATATAATACTAAAGCCTACAATATTTTTATGTAAGAATTATTGAAACAACCTGCACATAACAGGGACAAAAGAGTTTGCATGAAACTCTATTTGTATTAAAACATTGGACTTCAAATTGACGTTGGTTTACTTCTTAGACAGCTTCACCAGCTTATGGTCCTTTCATTTTTTCAGAAATCTCTTTGTTTGTAGCTTTAGCTATCACTTTTTTTTAGTTACCTCAACACAGAGATTAATGAGCCAAAACCCCATTCAAACCCCAGGGTTGATTACCCCTCTTCCATAATTATACCTCATAATAATTCATATCCAGAAATAACTGCATGAAGTGAACCAGTTTTTGTTCACAAAGGAGTTACGACTTATAAAATTTTAACATTACAAACTGGTAGACGAATCTATTAATAGAGCAACTAGTAGATAATTTCTAGCTATATTCTTGTTCGTCGTATTTATTCATCTCCTTTATTTTAGGGAGAAAAACGAAGAGATATTCGTTCTTAGTTTCAGAAGGAATATCCCTTGTCGCATTTGGAAAGATAGATTCTCCGGAATCAAACTGTCAAACTACTTTCCAATGTCTTACGTCTCAGTCTTTTATATCTGTTGGCTTGAAAACAGGAGTTTTAAGTCTGAGAAAAAATCCTTGTTATATTCGGAAACAGTCCAACGGTATTCGAAAGCTCACCATTAAAATAAGAATCATTGCATGTCCTAAACAACAACATGATGTTTTGGTAAATTTATTTGTCTTCCCACCCAACTTTGGTCCGGCGAATACGATACTTAATAGCTACAACGAGCAGAAAGTAAGAAGTATGGTAAAACAAGACCGAATATTAGGCACAAAAAAAAGTATGGCAAACACATTACACAGGATTATGCGAATGACCAGAGAATGTGACAATCCAACAGCATATAGAACAAATATGGCATCTGCTATGGTCAGGGAGGCCTTAACACAAGTAATCGATGAGCTTGTAGCAAAGTTTGTCACAATTCCAGGTATTTATATTTATTATTCTTCCGATCGACTGTCGGTAAAAGGCAAATAAAAGACACAAAATCACTGGCGCACTAGTTGAGGTCATATCACTTGACGATTCGCTACGATTTCGCTACAATATATTATAAACACATGTCAGATGTCAGCTATTTTGGCTACAGACCATAGTATAATTTAAAATGAGGAGAAATGAAATTCTGCCACATGTATATATATATATACGAGGGTGGAAGAGATTTATTTCATGGCTTTATTGCATCGAATAAACTGGAAAATATGAGTGTTTAAGTATGTAGATATTACTGCACTGATTCATAACTACTAACACATGCAAGGAAATGAAAAAAACTATATTTTTGGTAGCAGTTATACCAAAACCTAGAAACAAAAAACTATGCTCATGTTTCCCTTTTTTTCTTATAGGCGTGGATGGAAAAGTGATATCTCATCTGTCCCTCAATACGTTATTTACAAGTGCTAGTTTGAATTCCTTGGCGAGTAAAACAGAATGTTATACTCCAAAAGCTAATAATTGCGACAGAAATTCTGTGTATAGAACGATCGATGGCAAGTGCAATAACCTCAACAATCCATTGTTTGGTTCCGCCTCGACTGCACTTACTCGCTTCTTGCCAGCACAATATTTCGATCTCGATGGACTGAATGATCCTATCGGATTACCAGGCCAAGTTAATGTCCCAGATATTCCAGCAACATTCAAAGTAGTTCGTGATTTCATTGTAAATCAGGAGAAATATCAGGAGCTAAACACTCAGTTCTCTCATATGTTCATGCAATATGGACAATTTTTAGACCACGATCTAGATCTGTCACCAGAAATTGAGAATTCTGACAGATGCATGAACACAAGGTATATACGTCGTATCTTTTGTGATATGACAGGCAGGAACCGAAATCGAATAATATAATTATATATATATATATATATATATATATATATATATATATATATATATATATATATATATATATATATATATACCAACACGTAAATCTTACATTTTTTTTTAAACTAAACCAACTGTATGTTATCACTTCAAACGTATTTTGTAGGTGTGATGGATCAAAAGGCGATTTTGTTGAGCCATGTTACACAATTCTACCACTGGAACCCTGTTACAGGTGTATACATTTTTCACGTTCGGCGACTGTTTGTCCCATTGATGGGAATGGTAGAATAACCAAACGACAACAAATCAACGTGAATACAGCATTTGTGGATGGTTCACAGATTTATGGCTCCGATGAAAAGCTTGCGAAAAGCTTGAGAGATTTGAAAAGTCAGTATTAGTAGCTAGGAATTAAGCACGTTTGCTCCCCCAGAAACCCCGTAAATTTTTGTAATTTAGGAGATTTTTATCGATGTTGAATGTGATATCTTGCATTCCCGAGCTTAAAAAACACCAGAAATGATTATTTTGACCTTTTTGAAACGAGGATTATATACTTTCAGGTTTTTTTTAACAGTTTTTTCAGGGTAGTAGTATTTGTATGTAGTATTTCAGGAGCCCTGTAAACCTCCCGCTCAGGGCACGCCCCAGTTATTAACTATTCAGTCAATCAAACTCAGGAGATTAGCCTCCTAGCTCCTGTCTCTGACATAACTGTATTGTAGAAATTATTCAGTTATTCTTATCAGTACATGCAGTTTTGAAGACCACTATTTGAAAAGGTTAATTTTTCAATGAACTAGATTTGGTCCATTCCTACCATTCAGATATGAAATGTCATAAAAACACTAGAATATTTCCATGCAGTGATATGTATGCATTTTTGTATCTCTTCAAGATGGTAAAGGATTGCTCAGAACAGGAACTCGTGTTCAGAATTTTGGTGATTTTTTGCCTGACAATGATTGCAGGCTCACGTTCCCATCTGATTTGTGTCGGCTGTTAGGCGGATGTTTTCTTGCTGGTGATGGTCGTACTAGTGAACAGATGGCCCTCGCTTGCATGCACACACTATTTCTGCGAGAACACAACCGAATTGCTGAGGAATTAGGAAGACTTAACCCCAGCTGGAATGGAGATAAAATCTACAATGAAACAAGAAAAATAGTCGGTGCTGTGTTGCAAAAAATTACCTACGAAGATTTTTTACCTATTATTATTGGCGACAGTCTTCCAACATATAACCAATATGATCCCAGCGTTAACCCGGGAATTTTAAATTCTTTTGCTACAGCTGCATTTAGATTTGGACACAGCTTAATAAGACCAACATTTGATAGATTAGATAAAGGTTTTAATCCGACGGGTAAACCTATTCTTTTACGTGAGATGTTTTTCAACAATACGTTTATAAGAAAAAACGACATCGATCAATTACTACTTGGCCTACTTGGAAACGAGTCACAAATTGTCGACCGTAAGATTGCCAATGGAATATTAAACCATTTGTTTGAACGTCCAAATTCGCCTGGTTTGAATCTTGCTGCATTGAATATCCAGCGTGGCAGAGATCACGGCTTGCCAGGTTACAACGCATTCAGAGGTAGATGTTCTTTGAAGAATGCAAATTCGTTTCAAGACACAGCAAATGAAATCCGTAACCCCCGTAACAGAAAGCTTTTATCGCAGTTGTATAAGGACGATCCAGATCTTGCTGATTTATGGGTAGCGGGTCTAGCAGAAGCTCCTATTTCTGGTGGAACTGTCGGAGAAACGTTTGCATGTATTATTCGCGAACAAATGAGAAGGGTAAGAGATGGGGACAGGTTTTTTTACATGAACAATGTGTTTTCAAACCAACAGTTGCAAGAAATAAGAAAAGCGAGTCTGTCAAAGATTATGTGCGATAATTTGAAAAACATCGTCTCCGTGCAACCAAATGCTTTTATGGCTGGTTCACAACGAAAAGAATGTAGCCAAATACCTGGTATTGACCTCAGCGCGTGGAAAGGTTGGTTTATGATTATCACTTAACCATATCGTGATTGTTGTTGTCACCATTAGTGATGTTGTTGTGGTTGTTGTTGCTGTTGTTGGTGGTGGTGGTGATGTTGTTGGTGGTGGTGCATGGTGATGTTATCTTGTTGGTGGTGGTGCATGTTGATGTTGTTGGTGGTGGTGCATGTTGATGTTGTTGGTGGTGGTGCATGTTGATGTTGTTGGTGGTGGTGCATGGTGATGTTGTTGGTGGTGGTGCATGGTGATGTTATCTTGTTGGTGGTGGTGCATGTTGATGTTGTTGTGGTTGTTGTTGGTGGTGATGTTATTGTTGGGGGTGGTGATTTTGTCGATGTTGTTGGTTTTGGTGGCGGTGATATCGTTGTGGTTGTTGTTGTTAGTGATGTTGTTGTTGGTAGTGATATGTTGTTGTGGTGGTGATGTTCGGTTGTTGGTGATGTTGTGGTTGTTGTTGGTGGTGATGTTGTTGTTGTGGCCTTTTTGTTGGTGGTGGTGGTGCTGTTCTGTAATCCTGCAGTCTAATAACCGTATCATAATAAGCAACTCACGACTAATCTTTTGTAGGGAAGACTGTGACGTCCTGTGCTACGAAAACCTCTGATGGTCGTTGTTGTGTTTTTCCATTTACTTATAAGAACAAGAAGTATACATCATGTAAACAAAGTGACGTTTATGCATACAGTAAATGGTGTGCAACTTCGAGCACATATGTTAGTGGCAATAATTGGGGATATTGTCAAGGTAATCCTTACTTCAGCAACTTTATAAAAATTATAGCTCGAATATATACTGCAGTGACATTGTGGTGTATAATATTAAATCTTAAACGATGATCATGCGTTTTATTTTATTGCTATGTTTGACATTAGTTTAGGCTTCTTCACTTAGAATGCAAACGGCGAATATTCATTTTTAAGCGACTCACGACTAATCTTTTGTAGTGAAGCCCTGTGCTACGAAAACCTTTATCTTTGATGGTCGTTGTTGTGTTTTTCCGTTTACTTATAAGAACAAGAAGTATACTTCATGTAAACAAAGTGACATTTATGCAAACAGAAAATGGTGTGCAACTTCGAGCACATATGTTAGTGGCAATAATTGGGGATATTGTCAAGGTAATCCTTACTTCGGCAACTTTATAAAAATTATAGCTCGAATATATACTGCAGTGTGGTGTAGAATATCAAATCTTAAACGATTATCATGCGTTTTATTTTATTGCTATGTTTGACGTTAGTTTAGGCTTCTTCACTTAGAATGCAAACTGCATGCGAATATTCATTTCTAATCGCGGTTCTGTTTTCCACCTAAACAGAAGCACCATTGGTGTTAAACAAATAGTTAAATGCTACCAGAGATTTAACAGACGCAGTAATTGCAATGAGGAATATATAGTTGGAACCATATTAGCTTTGTTTAATTAAACGGACCTTCAGAATACAATTATTAAGTCGAGGATTTAGTCACCGCGCAGTTTGACCCTCGGAATTCAATCTGTACATACAGACGTGTTAACAACTGCAATTAGCCCATGACGAATATGCCGCTATTTTTGGGGTATTTTTTTTCAAAACCAAGAGCGTAAGACCTCGAGTCATAACAGCAACAATCCTTATTTTTAGGCTGGTTTATTCTTCAAATGGTCTGTTGATTCTAAAAAAAGCCTATTTGAGTAAATACTCCAAAAAAGTACCCCAAAAAAACGTCATCATGAGAAAGACCAATTAAACCACTTTTCAGTTAAAACTATTTATCCTGTTAATGCATTTTTTATCACCATTTCTTTGTTCACGATTTCTTATTTTTACTCTATTTTGCAGCCACTGGTTGATATTCGTATACTTTGATACTAAAACATGAAGAATTTGTTCCGGGAAGAAAAATTATAAAACAGAAGAAAGATGAATTGTTAGAAAGAATAGAACTAATGATTATGATCCTTATACAATATAATTATTTGTACTGTTTTGTTAAACAGATGTCTAATATATATATGGAAACATCTGTTATATATGGACTATTGTCTATACTTGTATAGCCCCAAAGACACTCGCCAATTTTTAGTCCCATGACCATGTGTCAATGACACCACCAAAATGGGGGGAAACATGTTTTAACCATCAGTTTTCAGATTGCCCTGGCATTGCAATATCCAATAAATATGCTTTAGGCAACCACTAGAAATGCAGCCAACAATCTTTAAAATTGGCACAATCATCTGGCAAAAATTTCCAGACACTGAGATCGTCCAGCAACTAAAAAACGTTGGTTTTTATCAGCATTACAATCCACGGATGTTGTCTTTTTCATCTTTCATAAGTAGGAAACAAACATCTTTCATAAGTAGGACGGCAATGCACGTCACAAGGAAACAAGGAAAATTGCATCTTGTACAACAAGCACAATACTTAATCTATGAAAAGGCATGGCTAAAATTGGTGGCTAATATATACAAATCAAAGACAAGGGGACCGACTTTAGCTTCTAAATTAAGTAAACTGAAACTTAATCCGAAGCTGACAAATTTTGGCCATTCATGTATTCACCCACCTAAATAAGCCAGGAAAATCTCTCCGCGACGATTTAACAGATGAAAAAAGAGTAAACTGTGTGACTTTGTTGAAATGTCGAGAAACTTGAGTTACTGATTAAGCTTAGTTTTTGTGATCGTCGTGAACAAGTCATTTTCACCAATAAGAAATAGTCCCGTCTTCGGATGTAAAATTTGTCTTTATTTCTGGGTTCAAAACTGTCATTGTTGACTACACACAGAGTCAGAGGAATGTTCACGACAATCACGATTTAATGGAAACCAGCAGACACGACTTTTCACCAGGGCGCGCAGTCGCGGACTGGGGTCAAACCCGAGGTTGAGCTGGGGTTAGTGCGGTACCATTTGGCATTTGCAACTGAAACATGAGCAATTAGCAATAACCACTGGTAATGGGCGCCAAGGAACATAAATATGGGGACGCAACGCGATATTCCCCGCCGGTATCCCTGTGGGCCAGTCACCCACTGCTTTTCACTCCAGACGTTAGGCAACGAGATTTGTCTAGCTCACGATTTACACTTAGTAATACCTGTTTTACATTTGATCTTTGTTTCTCCTGCATCTGGTTAGCGAAACAAACGTCAGACAGTGTTATATCCAGACAGGCGAAGACTTGGCTGCTGCCTTGTTCGGCTGTAATTAAAGCGAGTGCGACTAAAATTATCGCGTTTACCGGCAGGTTTAAACTCGGAAAATATAAAAAATATTAATTTTTCTTGGCTGTGTTATTTCGATCGTAAATATTTGATAAATATTTTTCGATCAAGGCCGTCAGGGTGCGATATTGGGAAATTGGAATCCATAAATTTTATGGCCAATTTGGTCGCTCTGACGTCACGTGAAAAGCATCGATTGGTTAATTTGTAAAACTGTGGGTGGGCAAAAAAAATGGTAATGAGGATAAGCAATTTGTTGAACTGATTGGTTGTAAAACAGTGCGGACGTCTAAGAAGACAGCGTATAATGATTATAATATCATGTTACATATGCACAGAATGATCCTCTCTTGAGCATAAATAACACAAGAATAACTTCTCACTTCATTCACAAAATCTCCTCTCTCAAATCTACAAGTCGAAGTAATCCGCAAAACACAAAATGTCTGGACGTGGTAAAGGTAAAGCTAAGGGAACCAAATCTAAGACCCGTTCCTCGAGAGCAGGACTTCAATTCCCCGTCGGTCGTATTCATCGTTTGTTGAGAAAAGGCAACTATGCTGAGCGAGTTGGCGCTGGTGCACCAGTTTACTTGGCTGCCGTTCTCGAGTATCTGTCTGCTGAAATCCTCGAGTTGGCAGGAAACGCTGCTCGTGACAACAAGAAAAGCAGAATCATCCCAAGACATTTGCAACTGGCCGTACGAAATGACGAAGAATTGAACAAATTGTTGTCTGGTGTTACAATCGCACAAGGCGGTGTGTTGCCAAACATTCAAGCTGTCCTCTTACCAAAGAAGACCGAGAAGAAAGCGTAAAGTTGTTCAAGCTCAACTTAAAAAAAAAAAACGGCTCTTATAAGAGCCACCAAATTTACAAAAGAAATTAACGATATCTCGTGCAAAGTAGTCTTAACTTTTACCCGCCATGAGCCTATATTGTTCCTGCCGGCTGCCTACGAAACGATTATGTCGTTCGATAATGTATTGGTTTTTCAAACTTCATAGACACTAATTTCTGCCTGTGTCGGTTGACCCAAAAGTGCGTTTGAGGTTATTCCCGATGTTAGGTTGACTTCGGCATAAACCAATTGAACGATTCTGAAACGCTGATTCTATACTAATTTGTTCTAAGACTAAGGTGTAGAAGAATTTAATATGCAAACAGATTATTCATACATCATTTTTATCATGTCTGTTGTTTTTTAGTGTTTCTGAATAGGAATGAACTGTATCAATAAATATTTTTACTTTCTCCGGTTCCATATCCGGATATATCCCATGACCAAGGTTTGCGATGTATTTATTCGTACCAAATGAACGAACCATGCTTTTTGTTGCTCTAATCAAGTCATCCTGTAATGAAATATTGAAGGCGATCAGAGTTCCCAAAGACGCCTTCAACTCTGGCAAGCAACTCCAAGAGCCTAACTTTCCCTTGGACCTTCGTAAATAATAAACCTGATAACTTCTTATTTAAATTACTGCATATATCAAACAGTTGCACGATCGATCAATCCCTGTTGGAGGGCGTGGTGAGGAATTTGCCTTAAAGAGGCCAACGGAATACACATGCATATATGGGACTGCTTACTCAATTTTTATGTATTTTCTCGAGTTGGCCCAACATTTCATCACATGCAGGTGCTCAGTGGCTTCGCCCTTGATCTCGTTATAAAATGTAGCATGCATGCAACGTACCTTGTTGGCATATAACCCACAAGGGTCAAGATTGCCTTGCAGAACACAGTTTGGTGCCTGTAACCTAGAAAACATACAACAAATACCTTCGACGTCTTAACTAATTCTGCTGTGATGTCAATTATACACGCAGGGTTTTCTCTCAAATCACATATACCTTGCACACTATAGCTAAAAAAGACATTCACCTTGCATTCTCCACAGGAACGGTCCAATCTAATCCAATTACGTCATAACTACTTTGTGAAAGTTCTCTAATGGCATAACTTGCCCCTTTTGCAAACACAACCTGTCAATATAAAATTATAGATATGGAATTCATTGAATCAGCGCTCTGCTTGAACACAACAAGCTCCCTTGAAATATTCAACATACCATAGGCACAGCATCTTTTCCAAGACGCTCTTTTACTTTAGCAGCAATTTCTTCAAGATGGGGAAAAGCATAAAGTTTAAACAAGTAAGGACTGAGGCATCCTGCGTGTGATTCGAATACTTGAAGCATCTAGAAAAAAAGGAAATCTTTTATACCGTTTTTGACTTGGGTTATGTAAAATCTAGTGGCTGCATTCATCTTCCATGGAGATAACACTTCAATAGATATTGCCCCACAGCAGAAGTCTTTTAAAATATTTCCACATCTTAAACTACTTGACTTCAACACAAGATAGTCCGTTGCAAGCCATCCTCATAGTGTATTATCTTTTGTCTCTTGCGATAATTACGTAATGTATATATTTTACGAAAAAAGGCCCTGAGCCCAAGAATCAAGATAAGTAATTATAATTATAATTATATAGTGAAACTGTATTTCTAGTGCCAGGACCTTCACTCGTGCAACAAACCTGTGCGCCAGCCCGCACTTGGGCAACAAGATAATCAACAATGACATCTGTCAGTTTCTGTAGTAACAATGATGTAGCTTCACTGTGTTTATATAACCATTTCTTAGCAATTGACATTGTCTTACTACCGCCACCTTCGATCATGTAAGCCATTAATGTCCACTGCACAATATTCATAAAAAAGATAAGAAAACAGCAACATGTAATAAAAGAAATTTTATCGCTTTCATTTTCATCCAAATACGGCTCTGTTAGGGCAAATCTTCCAACGTAACTTTCCATTTCATCACACAAAAACTTACTGGTGCTCCCGAAAATCCAATCAAAGGTACTTTCCCTTCTAGATTATGCCTTGTCAATGTAATTGCGTCCATGACATAACTTAATGTCTCTTCAATTACTACTTCCTTCTTTAGTTTCTTCAATAAAAAGATAAAAAGTATCTGATAAGACAAACAAAGAATCTCACCACACTATTAAAAAATTTATGATTATATCAAAATTTATTTTAATCTATTCTGGCGCATTTTTCAATTCCAATTGGCAATAGCCTATAATTGAATAATTTCATAAATTCACTCACTATATCTGGCACTTCTTCAAAACATCAAGAAAATACACAAGACGGGCGATCCTATGCAACGCATGCAATATTTCCTTTTTTGCAACCGAAGTGACGAAAATAACATCTCACCTTGAGATCGTCAGGTTCTCTCAAAGGCTCTGGGAAATGAGGTCCCTATATACGCAAGAAAGATAATAATAACAATGGTATCTATGTGTAATGTTGTGAACTTACTGTTTTATTGATTAAAGGAACTATTTACTGCATGGTAGTCAAATCTGAATCTCGTTATAACTTACTTTACCCTTCACCATTTCACATGTCATTCCAAGTGCCTGAAAATGTAACATTCACTATGAATACTTTGAACTTTGAATCAGGAAATTGTACGATAAAAAAAATATAATTAGAGTTCATTGAAGTTAGTTATACCTGGGGAATTACTAAAATATCCGAAAATATAATAGCAGCATCCAATTCAAACCGTCTTATAGGCTGGAAAATACAACAATACTTGATTAGTTATTTTTCACTTCACACAAATGGTGAAGATATCACATCAGAGCCGCGGAAGAATGAAACGCTCTAAACCAGCTCCTCTTTATGAAGATTGTTAGGAGAAAATACGAAAATGATCTGTCCCTAAACCTAACATTTATGATCCCACTGATCTTCTCTTGAAAAGTTATTACCTGAAGTGTGATTTCACAGGCAAGCTTTGGTGTTTGAACAATATGAAAGAAGTTATTGCCGTGTTCTTCTTTAAACTTGAGGAACTCTAAGAAAAAAGCAAAGGTTCTTACGGTTCTCATGCATAGTGTGTTTTTACTGTCATGACGTTGCTCTATATGATTCCTCAACCCCGGCGGTGTCTCGTTTAGTCGTAATTATCGTGATCAATTCATTTTCACGGATGAGAAGAAACAGTCCGGTTGTAAGTCTTTATTTCTGTATACAAATGGGTCATTGTTGACCATAGAAATATTCTATTACATCTGCCAACTGATGTACCTTGATATGTTCACGACACTTACGACTAAAAGAAAACGAGGCATAAGCGGCCCCCCATGAGGTTAAGCACTTCCTTTTCCGGAATAATAGACCAAAAGTGAGGTCCTTTTAGGGTAAAGAGCTTGAGGATTGGGAAAACACTTGACGTCTTTTTTGCACTTTCGTCTTTGCTCCCTTGCACCTCACTTGTAAAGTTTTGAATTTATTAAAAATTTAGCTGCGAAATCATCTAAAGTCCCAAACAAATTCGTGATATATTTAATCGTAAAAGGTTTTTCCTCAGTTTACCTTGAATTAAAACATCTTAAATTGCCAAACCATGTATAAATATGATAACTATTTGATTGACGGAGGAATTATTTTATTAGTTGTACTAAAATATGCAGTTGTAAAAGTCTCATTTTAAAAAGTAAGAAATATGAATAGTTCGAATCTCTCAAAATTGACAGAAAGCAATTTCGTGAGATGTTGTCCGTAGAATCAAAGACTGCTATATAATACTCGAGAATAAACTAGTCCCAAATCTGAAAATTTCCAAAACATCACTCGCATGCTATTAATAGTCAAAAAGTCTGCGTTGTGAACTGGGAGTATATTTATAAAGATCTTAAATCTCTAGGTTTCATAGAAATGAAATTCATTTTTAAATTTTTTTGACACCGGACATTAGTCATGAGACCTGTAATCTTGTAAATCATCAAATGACCTTATTGACCTGATTCCGTTATTGGCTGAAATATGACAGATAACAGCTCGTCATTTATCACATTATTCACACCGTTGAACATCATTGATGGTGCATCACTCGCATGATTTAATAAAGCAGATAAAAAGTCATGTAATTGAAGTAAAATATGAAATGTGAAATTAAGGAAATCAATATTTCCATGTAATTGTTAGCTGTTTCCTTTCTACTGTGGTTCGCATATTTATACGATACCAAATTCTTGTATCAATATCGCTTTCGCATACTCTCCATAACTAACACAAGTGAGGCGCGAAACTAATTTATGATATGATTGAAGAACTCGTGGACAAGATTGTAATGGTGGTTGCAATTATTTTCTCTTCTGAACCGTTTCGGCAGTTAGCTTCACGTTTGGTCAGACATTCAACCAACCTGTCCGATGATGAAGATGTTCTTGATAACGCGGAAAGCTCTGAAGTATTGATAAGTGTTGAAAATCAACATCCAGTCAACACGGGTGAAAACCATGAACAACCAGGAGAAACCAAGGATGAAATACTTGGCAATACGAAAGTTGATAGTGATTATGGAACGATTCCTATCAGCGCCCTGGACGAACAACCCAAAACATTGTTCAGTTCGGGAAAATCTAGTTTGTGTATGAGTTTAACAATCACTGTTGCTGTAATTCCTATCAGCCTAGTAATGGTTTTGGTATTAATTGCAGATGTAAATACCTCGAGTATCTGTTACCAACGCGTGCTGGACAACAAATCACTTCCTGAAGAAGTTATGAAATATGTAATTATTGGGCACGATATTGAAGCTATTGCCTTAAATTTCTGGTTTCAACTAATGTTAGTCTTGCTGTTTAGTTGGAAGAGATTCAGATCATTCCTTTTAGCCACATTATTTCTTGGTTTTCTTCTTGGTTTTATAGTTGCAATATTCAAAACAACTTTGTTCCTAGCGAATGTGGACTTCACACAAATGAAATATAGGTATCCAGGCAATGCAGTTTTTCTCTTTGGAGTAATATACTCTAGTTATCTAGTGTCGAAAAAAGTATGTCAAAGATATTCTTCTAATACCAGACGGTTGAAAAAACGAGACGTTTTTGCCATTGCCTCAACACAGTTCTTCCTGGGGTCCCTAATAGCAATGATGTATAGATATGTGTTTGTTCCATGGTTCTGTAGTGCAAACAGTGATATATCACAGGCATTGATTGCAATGATTACACCAACATTAATTATTCTACCAGTTGTAATATCAGAAAATTTGGCCCTAAAAAGTTTACCATTTACTGATGCAGGTCGCATTTTCGTCTTGGTGTATTTTGTTAATGGTGTCAGCATATGGTTATACTGTATAATGCAGGCCGGAGTAGAAGATCTGAGGATTTTTATTGGACTTTCTGTATTCCGCGGTGTGTTACAGGTTTTCCAAACAGCAACAGCAAAATTTAGACAAAAAATTGTCGCTAGGATTTGGAAATGTTTTGAACATAAATGCACAACATGTCCTACAATTGAGGAACTGGAAGAATCAAGAGAACATTGTCGTTTGAAGGTTGACAAAGAAATTCAGATCATGCTTTACCAAAGTATTGCAATAATACTAGGCCAAGCTTACTTGGTACTGTATTTAACTGGCAATTACCATGTTAAAACACAAGAGATTTTGGAAGAAATTTTCATGAAAAGAGTATTTGTTGGCATTGGGATAAGTTTCACTGCAAACTTTGCATCAATATTGATACACATTCACTTTCATAAAACTAAACTGATTGAAGTATGGTATGATCATTGGAAACTTCACTTATCTGCTGTAACTTTAGGAGGAGTGATGTCAATATGTTACTTTACAGGAGTTTTACTCAGTGTTTTTAGAAGCTTTGCTCAATCAAAAAGCTACCACATCAAAGATTGCACTGATCCTTTTAAATAAATAAATAAAATGTATCTTCAGAATCAAATCATAATATGAATTATATGTTCGATGAAGTGCCCTCAAAAATCTGTTAAACTGTGAGGCAATTGTTGAAAAGTTAGACAAATGAATACAAGGGACCTTCAACCTTCTAGGCAGAACACTGTTTAGCAAAAACATGTACAGATACCGTGTTTTGTAAGTATGTCCTACTGTACGTAATACAGTTTCAGTCTCAATATAATTTATGGAGATATCGAAAAGAAAATTGGTATTTATGAATCATTATATTACCCACAATACTGTACCACCAAATAGTTTCTATTATACTTTGCAATATTTCAATGAAATTATCTTATATTAAGTATAAACAATTTGTAATTAGTTGCCTAGTCTCTGTAAATAGTTTATATTTTAAAAAGTCTGTGTATAACAAAAAAATATTGTTTTAATCTACCTTATATTTATATAACACCATATACTTTTTTGTTTACCCTTTTTTTGGCAATTAAAGTAATCTCTATTATTTTTAGCATAGTAGTGATTCAAGTGAGTCTGTGTGACAAATCAATAACAAATCAATACTACTCAGAAAAGAATAACAATGACTTTCTGAGAGTTTTTTATTCTGTGCTATATATGGCACTATTCAAAAGGACCCCCCCCCCCAAAAAAAGAAAAACCCCACAGGCAATACAGCAAAGGATTTGAACACTTCGCAAGTCTTGGAATCCTGCTCAAAACGATTGAACAACAACCAACTAGTGCATTACTTGAGAGATATTTAGCAAACAATACCCGGTACATGACATTTTAATAGATTTTAGATCCTCTATTGTTGAACCTTTTCACTCAGGTACAAAAAATTATATAATATGTTAAAACAATTTTCCCACATTTCACCACAAGTTGTGCTGCGAAACACAGTGCGGAAAAAGAGTATTATCTGCTGTGAATATATCTAAAATAAGTCAATAAAACAATTGTGTAAATTTCAATTTCTTACCAGGTAGATAACGTCCGGCCTGTCTCATAATCCATACTGGGACACGTTCAACTTTCTCTCCTCTGGCTGTGCGAAGTATTAAATCATTTTTCATTGGAGGGAAATCTTTTTGTATATCTTCATTCATTGCTGTAAAACGATTTACAGGTTTCGTACAAACGAATGAAATGTTAAAATCTTTGAATTAATGAAGTAATTCCCCTCATGAACTGAATCATCAATCATGGAAATTAAAGATCAAAGTCTTCAAAGAACTCGAGCCTGAATTTAAGGGTGACCCGGTGGAAAGCCCGCGAACAGACAATCATGAAATAAAGGGCTAAATTTACAAGTAAATAATTTATGGAGAATTGCGAATTACGGTGCAACATTCCCCTTAAGCGAGCTTCCGGAATTAGCTTTTTAGAAAAATACAAGCAGAACAGTCAAGCAACCGTCAAGGCTGCCGGAGCCACGGAGGAATCCCTGGGGCGCGGCGTCCAGGGCTGTCCCCATTGCCCGCCTGCTATGGGGGAAGGGAAGGCAGAGAAAGCCCTGTGGCTATTGCTACCATATAGCAATATCATACATTAACCATTTGGTTAACTATCGCCATAATTATTTTAATAAAACTAGGTTATTATTGCGCGTGTTCTTGAAACTGGCTGAAAATACGTTCTCCTGTGTGGATCTGCAAATCGGGCTACTTCAAATTTTTATTAGAGTGGTGACCATGGTTGCTAAAACACTTTTTCAGGTTCCCCTACCAACTTTACTTTCGACAAGTTTTCGTGCCACAACTGACAACAACTCTTCTATGAAATTAAAAATCTATAATAAGGAATTCTACATTAATCATTTAATCTAAGGAAATTTGAAGCTCCCATTAAGGAATATTGTACTTTGCTCAAAAATGGCGACTTTCAGGTTATTGAGAAAGATTCCAAAAAGTTTAGTTTCTCAACGCTTTAACGTCGCTGTACGATGTCTAGCGAGTGAATCTGGTGCAGCAACAATGCCATTAACATTTGGCTCACCTCAAACGGTAAATGAATGTGATCATTATTAAAACTGTATGGGCAAAAAATTGATGTAAGGCTGTAGCCTGTAAGCTCATTGAAATCCAAAATATCAAATCTGATTCAAATGTTTTTTAATAATATTAGGCTAGAGACCTACTAGAAACCTATGCAGGCTTTTGAGTCAATTGCCATTGATTGTAGCAAGAAATTTAAATACCTATAGAAAATCCTCATTTGTGATAAATACAACCATATGGTCCGATATGGAAACTGTGAAGTGTTCTGCCTTTGGGATAAAACCCATATAGAAAATATATTCCCAACAATTGGATTTGTATCATAGTATTCATACAATATTTATTAACTGGGAGTTCATTTTTCCTACATCAGGCATATTATCATAACGTTGATGTAAAACAAGTCGATGTTCCATCTGGTACAGGCACATTCGGTATACTCCCCAATCATGTGCCAACATTAGCTGTGTTAAGACCTGGTGTTCTCACTGTTTTTGAAGATGAAGGAACAAGGAAATTCTTTGGTATTGATATTTGTGTCACACTACTTTTGTTTTCTGTTCTTTTTTGTAGTACCAGTAACAGTTTTGCATTTCCCCCTCAATTTTATAATAAAATATCACAAAATACATTTTTTAGTAAGCAGTGGAACTGTGACGATAAATGAAGATTCCTCACTTCAGGTTTTGGCAGAAGAAGCAGTTCCATTGGAACAGCTTGATATAAGTGTAAGCTATTATTCATTGCCAAAATTTGTATTTTAATTACAGCCTATTGTAAGGTGAGGTTGGTGGAACAAAATACTTTGGAGAAAACATAATTTGTAATACAACTTATAGTATTTACTGTAAGTAATATGAAGACCCGAGTATGAAAATATTTTAGTATTTTTTATTTATTTTATTTCTTTATTCAAACAGGAAGCAAGGCAGGGTTTAGATTCTGCTCAAAATGCTGCAGCAACAGCAACCAATGAAGAAGATAAAGCAGAGGCACTAATCGCAGCAGAATGTTATGAAGCTATTATTAAAGGCGTGGAAAGTCATTGACACCCATAAACACTTTGTATGTTTATAGCTCTTTATTCCACACTAATATGCACATTGCTTATAATTGAATATTGTAATGCACAGAATATTTTGTTCGTATTACATTCTACTTATTCTTACTCCCTGACAGCACACATGATAAAAATTTTTTTTTTTGCAGATTGTGTGATCAAGTTTTTATGTTATATTAAGGATATTTGCTAAATAAAATCATATCATTTATGTTTGAATGCCTTTGTATTGTCTTAATGAAAATCAGTTGCATTGCTATAGTTATTACAGATCTTCATCCATAGTGGAAAACATAAATTTAGGCTAGCATATTGCAGCCAGATTAGTAAATTGGATAGGTCCGAGTTACTGAAAAGAACTAGCTCTTTCACGTGACATTCAATGAATAATACAAGAAATTATTAGACTACGAGCAATGGAATCTGCGTAACGCGGGACAATCCCCCCCCCCAGTTATTCTTGTGAACTGAAAAAACCTGTACAGGAGGAAAAGTCGGTTAAGGAGCTTTTGATTTGAATAATACTATAACCTCAAATATAATATTTTGTATAGAAACACAATATAATTTGAGTTAATTTTCCCACATTGTTACTCGGTTTTCTACCATTAGTTGTTTATTTGTATACAGGCTATACGCGCCACAATCATTGGGCTACTATGGCCTCGCCTGCAGCACGGCTTGCAGCTTTCACTTTTCGCCAATATATACGCCAATCGATTGTTTTAAATGCGTTCGGCGTCTGAAAAATGCAACAGTTATGATTTGGTATGGTTTAATACCAACAAACAATCTATATACACCATACATTTTATATTTCAATCTTTATAATTACGGTTATGAGATTCGCCAAAAGATATTCATTTGAAAGTTACAAGTTTCTAACATACTGTATGCAACTCAATTACTTTAGGTAATTAATTAGTTTTTACATCATATTTACATAAGCAATTAACTATAACTATGTATGAAAATATATACACAATTCATGTTTTCTTCCTGAATAACGTAACCACGGTTAAGTCTTGGTTGAATTCATTTATATACAATATACGATATACGATGGTCCCCAATGTAAACGCCGATAAGTCGTCCGGATAAGTATCATATTTAATTTATTTAGTTGGACATGATCGAGGACATGATGGCCTCTATGGTATGTTTTAAAATTTCATAAATTGGTAGCAACAGAATTGAGAACAACTTTTCTGTTACTTTATACAACCTATTAACAGTTTGTCCATTCTCTTCATTCATTTTTTGATGACTTTTCACTGAACAACAATATGGGATGACTGGTTATAACTATATCATTGCAAGTGAAATTATGTTCGCGGAGTCAGGTTATGACTGCTTACCACGTTTCTAAATGACGATACGGGAACCTATATTATATTATATTTACAATTCTGATAGAAATTCGGATCGTTGCTTGTTTGGAAGTGGCCAGCACCGTGAGACAATGATTGCACCTTTTCATTCGAAGCACGTTACTTGTTTGTTGTTCATGATGTTTGGTCCTTAAAGCGTACATAAGTCTAACAAAAACATTGAAAACAATGTACCCTTTTAAGAATTGATTGAGTTCACCTAATAGTTCTACATGTGTACCATTGTGTCTTGTATAAAATTTTTGATTTATTGAACTCATAAATCAATCGGATCGGGGTCTTTTGAAAACGGCTCCTAAAACCAAAAAATATTTTACACCATAAGGAGAAATAGTACATTTTGAACATATGTGTATGAAGAACATGCACGCAGCAGATAGTTTGTAAAGTAAAAAACAAATTCCGAATAAACAGGGCATCCAATAAGTGCGAAAATAAGCCGTAACCCTAAAACGTGGCTTCCAGGCCAAGACCGGGAGCCTCAATGGCTATTTCCATACTTATTTGTCAAAATGAAGTTATTTTTCATGTATTTAAGGTGGTCCTAAATTTATAAGATAATGTTGTGACGTAATTAGGGGCTCTTGGATCAACGGTATATATATAGTTCCACAATATCAAGCTATACCACCAACATACCTTCTGGGGTTTTTTTCTAGTTTTTTCTAGGAAACCAAAAAGTTTAACCATTCCTCCATCATATTCATCTAAGGGTTTCGTCGTAGGTGTATAAACTGGGTTCGCAAACGTCAAGCCAGCACTGAAGAAAAAAAAAGTTGTGGCGGTTTCAACTATCATCTAATACTCAGTCCTAATCCCAAAGAAGTATATTTGATAGTGCCATGCAGTATCAACAGAGCCAGTAAGGGTTTAGAGATAAAATGATTGATCTCCATGCAGCTCGTAGAATAATAATTAAACTCACTTGTGTCTCTTTTGAATTCTTTTATAAAAGATAAAGCCGACCATTCCGAAAATGATGAAGATCATTGCAACAACTCCCACGCTTATTCCAATAGTAACAGCTAGAAGTATATAACGAAATTTGATTTCTTAAACATATTACTAAATTATGACATGTAATTTATCATGCTTCGTTGATCTCGATATTTTGAATCAACATTCAACATTGCACGTACCGTTTGAAAGATTTTTGTTGGTTTTCCCGATTATTGATTCTTTTATTTCATTCTCACATCGAACCCCAGAATAGCCTTCCTTGCAACTGGATTAAGACAAAATAAATAATGCAATTATTTGACGGCACATTCTAATTCCATATTCTGTTTGTACTAGTTTGCACCTGCTATTCTAGGTACGAAATTGCAAGGTGTAAACGAGAGAAGTTAGAATGAAAACTACAAGAGTAATTACTGCCTTAGGGCTGCATGATTTCCACTGTCACGTTTCTTGCACGTACGTACACGCACGTAAAAGCTTAAAACCTTCTAAGTTGTTGTATAATTAACTTTATGCCAGAAAAAACACATCAAATCATCAACAGAATCCATGTTGCTTATTGCATTAGAAATGTTCGTCACTGATAATACCGTACACCATCGTACGGAAATATCAAAACAAGCATTAGGGCTGCTTTCTACTTATGCGTTTTTTATACGCACGTACATGCACCGGAGATTTGAAATGCTTCTAATTTTTATTATTTAACATTCAGGTCTACAAGTGCATACTAAAATATGCGGAAAACTAAGTTCTTTCGATTTGTTTACTTCGTTCTTTCAAAAATAACATATATAAGGATTTACACTTTTACGTGCGTGTACGTGCGTATGAAAAACGCATAACTGGAAAGCAGCCTTTAGGATTTCGTAAACTGATCGTACGACAACAATTGAGTATACTTACACACAGTGTGGACCACGAGCAAAATGTTGAAAAACGCATGTACCATTGTTACAGCCTCCCTTCTTACATGTGTACCCTAGAGCAATAATTAGTTAAATTATCTTATTTTTTATGAAACACTTTGATTCTTGCATATAGCGACACAAAAATAAATACGCTGACTCGCAATGATTTATTTACGCGTAGTCTAACCCTTACAGTATCATACACCAGGACATAATAAGAGATATTGCGTTTTATTTTCAAAGTTAAAATAAAAAAACTGATCTAAAACATACCTGAAACATTACAACTTTTGTTATCGGCCAACAGGAACATTCCTTCGGGGCAAGCACAGGTATAGCGTTGTGACTTACGACGTTGAGCAGATAATAAGCACAAATGACTGCAACCACCGTTAGAATCTTGGCAAAAGTTGAACGCTATACAAAAGAAAAACAGGAAAAAAAATTTAGCTTGGGAATGCATTGCTTTTTTCTAAAATTTTTTCCACTAAACTTTGGGAAATACTTATTTTGTGAGTTTACTAATACTTACACGCTGGTTGTCTCTGAGGATGAATCATGCTTATTCCCATGGTATGCACCAAACCTTCTCGTAAAACCGTAACATTCTTCCCGGTAAATTTATTAGCCTTGTATATTGCAGTTTTGTACCAATCACTCCAGTAAACGTTGTCCTCGAATACGGAGATTGAGAATGGATGAAATATCCTTTCAGCTAAAATAACACGTCTATTCGAGCCATTCAGATCACAATGTTCTATGAGATCAAGCTTGGCGTCTACCCACCAAATACTGTCAATGGTATAGTCAATAGTAAGAGCATTAGGCCACAGTATCCGTGTTGTTATTATTGCTCTTCGACTTGCTGGATCGCCATTCATTCCGCATTTCTCAATCTTCGGATTCTTCCCCCAATCCGTCCAAAACATTTCTCTGAATTATAAATTAAATATAACAAAAATATATACAAGTTGTAAGAGAAGAACTGATAGTTTACCAAAAGTTGATCAATATTAACTTATAAGTAAATTAAAATGAATGTATATAATGGCCGTTTCACTTAAACGGTGGATAAGTCAAAATTAAATAACACTCTTACATCTCTCTCTTGAATGGATAAAAAACAGCAACACTTAGTACGCTTGTTGAATAAAACAATAGACTAGTTATCTATTTTGAGCTTATCCACCGTTTAAGCTAAACGGGCTTGATACAACCGGCCCCAGACTTAAATATTGTATAGAATAGAATTAAACTAACCCAAAGTTAGGATGTAGTACTATAGCTCTAGGCATATCAATATCAGTTGTGATCAAGGCACGTCGATGTTCTCCGCGCAAGCTGGCAACTTCAATCGTTTTTTTCCAAGCATCAGTCCAGTATAATTTCCCAGTAACCCAGTCAACAGCGATGCCATCAGGCGCCTTAACATCCGTGATGATTGTTTCTTTCCTAATTTTCGTATCTCCATTTAAAGTTGTACGTTGAATTGATGTATTCTTGCCATCCGTCCAGTACATTAAATCCTCACCAAAATGATAATCCACGGCAATCGTCCCGGCCAAGTGGGGAACAATACCGAAGAATTCAGAGTTGTGAAGCATCAGTTTTCGGATTGAATAATGATCAGAAAATACCAGGTATGGCTGACGTTCTGGATAAAATAGAATACAGGATTATAGTAAAAGCGTATCACTGTATTTAAGTAAATTATATGAACAACAAAGAAATTGTCAATGATCACTGGACAGCAACTGCACATGCAATAAGGAAAGTGTTACTGTGTTAGGGCAGAAGTTGGGAGCATGGTTTAGACTCTAGTTATAGGATTAGGTAAGGAGAAATTTAACGCTTGGATCATATGGTTCAGGAGGGATTAGATTTTAAAGCTAAGAGTTTCCAAATGACTTAAAAAAAGACTCCACCTAAAATGTGACAAGTTTCCTTTTAAAAAAATGGAATTTGGAAATAACTCCAGAATGATTTCCACTAACCTCTAGCTTTACATGTCCTGTGATCCTTTGTTTCCAAATGATAACCGGCTACACAACTGCATTTGTACCTATCACCTTGTAAAGGCTCACAAATTTGACTGCACTTTCCAAATTCTTCACACACATTTATTTCTACATGAAGTATAGATTAAAAGGATGTAAATAAAACTGCCTTCTACATTTTTATGTAATTTTTATATAGTATGCATGAATTGTATCAACTGATTGTTCATTAAAGAATAATGCCTAACCAATGTCCTAATCAATTTTTATCTTTAAGAAACTTGTCTTTAAGAAACTAGAGAACAACAGAGGGAACATTTGTTACATACTTTGACAAGTTTTTTCATCATCCCCAACTTTATATCCAGCCTTACAAAGACAGCGATAGCCAATCTTTTTATCTTCACATCTGTGCTGACATCCACCATTGTTTTTTGAACATTCATTTACATCTAAAAAAAATGTATCTTTATCAACACATGCACATTGTCTACGGTTATAAAGTTCCCCCACGAAATAATATTCATCAGCTTACCACAGAGTTTCCCCTCGTCAGTATTATCACCACAGTCGTTTTGATTATTACACACCAATGAATCAGGGAGACATTTTTTTGTCTTTTCACATTCAAATTCATTTTCCTTGCATGTAGAATCTAAGGATAAAAAACATGTTAAATGCCAAATTAATGTTCGTTCACTTTACTTGTGATGGGATCACCATACCACAATTGTTTTCATCAGAACCATTATCACAGTCTTGTTTCCCATTGCACTTGAAAGACTTTGGAATACATTGGTTTCTTTCACTTTTACAGCTTATTTGACCATCAGGACAAGCTATATCATTAAATTGATGAAATTAGTAATTATTGTTATCACCACAACCTCTAAAACTGTCCTTGTTGTACCAAAATACAACTGTCAAAGTGATTTATTGTTAAATAACACCTTGGTACATAGGGGTAGAAAAGAAATCAAATCTATCATATTTACTCTTATCTGCTTTATTATTGTAACCACACCTCATCAACAACATTGTCTTGTTAGTTGTTACCAAACATCCCTAGTTGTACATTTATTGGAGTACGGGCTTCATGCACATAGTAGCCAACATGCATCTCATTCAGATCCACCACTGTCACTAATGTCTAGTTTAAACATACTTTTGCAATTGAATTCATCATCTTCAAATGGACAATCTACATCACCATCACAAACCCACTCGTTTGGAAGACAACTTCCATCTTTGCAAAGAAAACGATCACCGGGACATTTTCTTATATGTTTAGTAGTCAAAGTGCAATTAGGTGACTCATCACTGTTATCATCACAATCATAATGATTATCACAAAGTGCTTCTTTTAAGATACACCTTTCATTTTTACATTTCCATTCAAACCTTGTATCACATTCACGGAAGGCTGTAATAGTAATGTTTATATCAATGGTAATTTATTGTTTAATGAGATTATTACCCAGGACACAATTTAAATAGAATCAAATTAATATTGAGCTGACTAAGTACTTACAGCAACCCTTTTCATCAGAATTATCACCACAGTCATTATCATGATCACATTTCCAATTTATGTCAATACATTTGTTATTTGTGCATTGGAATCTGTTTGATGGACATGGATTTACAGCTAAATAACAACATTAGAAAAGCATAAGACAAAACAGATGTAGCAATCTAAAAAAATATTTGCGCAGTTAAATTACAAGCAACAAATGCCAATAACAAAGTTTCCTTTATTTCTTTTAAAACATCGTAGAGCTACTATAACCTCTCTGTCTATAAACTATGGCTCACATCATGCTAAATATAACCTACCCCAATGTATATGCCCACTATATAAATATGTGGTACCACACCAGAAAATCAATCAAGCAGGATGTAAATAATTGTCATGAAGCATTATTTTTGGATTTTTATTTTGCCTTTTAAACACTCACATAGAATTTTTTTATATAAAAGACAGTTTTGCATTCATAATATTTTAGTAATCAAAACTTTAAAGGATTTATTTTAAACTGTACTTACAACAATTTTTCTCATCACTTCCATCTGCACAGTCTAAATCATGATCACAAACCCATGACTTCAAAATACAGTCTTTGCTTTTGTGACATTTGAACTCACATGACACATTTGCTATATTGAGAAAATAACTTGACTTTAATTCATCATTCATTCTACAGTACACTATAAGCTGACATATACTGTATAAACATTGTTTCTCTCAAAGAGACATTTGGAAAATATTGCAAAATTATAAGAAATCTAGTCAAATCAAAGGTATTTGTACAGTCTATAATACTACAGTATTATATACTTTCCAAAACGATGGACATAAGATAAAACAAGGTAATAAGTTCTAATAACTAATATTTTAGAAAATAAGATGCTGAGGATAAAATATTGATAGATAGATCAAAATTATGTTGTTTGTGCCAGTAATCTGTTTACTAAATTCTTAAGGCATGTACATGATAGCTTACCACAAACTTCTGGTGACTCGTCAATTTTATCTTTACAATCTGGTACACCATCACACACCCACTGTCTTGATATACATGTCCCATTACAAGAAAATTCATTCTCACCACAAACATCTGTAATAAATGAAAGTTTAAGGAGCTAATAAACGTAACACCATGCACAATCAGCAAAGAAGTCAGGTCCTACATAGGATGAACATGAATGCTTGCTGAAGAACAGTAAAGCATTTGCAGCTTGTTTTCCACCTTAAAAAGTAGGGGGTTGTTGGGTTATGTGCGACTTTATATACATATACTGTCTTTACTTCAGGTTGTTCTGCGCATTTTATCTACTGTGGGTGAATAAATAACACACGTAAAACCATGAGAAAATCGCTCTAAAAACCCGTTTAATTATCCTAAGGGATTGTGATACGACTTTGAAAAAAAGTCCAAGTAACAAAGCGTTCTAGTCCGCCCTTGTAGACCACAATATATGTAGACCCGTACGCAAGTTCCTCTCCTACGCGACATGAATTTTTAATTTATACAAAAACACTAAACGTAAACAAATAATTCATTGCAATAAATGAAAGGTTACTACGGACTTACTACGGATCTATTTCACAAATTGAACAAATATAACTCAAGTTGAGTTCCTACTACCCTAATAGTAAACGAAAGTGTAAAATAAAAATGCACATACCACAGTTCTTCTCGTCTGAGCCGTCGAGACAGTCATCTTCCCGATCACATTCCCAATTCTTTGGAATGCATTTTCCATCTCCCTGACACTTAAATTTTACTTCGTCTGTCTTACACTCGTAGTCTGTAAAAGTACAAAACACGATATAAAATATATCACAGAAGAAACTGTTCTTGTCTTATACAGCCAGACATAAACAAAGACAGCTGATACGCAATAAAAATTTATAACGATATTGAAAATCGGCTTAAAAACAAGTGCTAGGCAATATATTTCATGATTTCTTGCCGTAATTCCACTTTAAACTTTGACAGAAAATAAATGCTGTTTGTATTTACTACTTGAAGGCTCGTAAAATTACAAATAGCATAAAAAATATACCAGGAAACAAGAAAGCAAAACAACAGCAACACAAACATATAAATTTACACACCGTCTGCTTTCGTCGACCACTGACAAACCACTGAAATAACAAAGAATATATGGAGCAAGACACACGGTCTTTTACTTCTACTGCTCATCAGCAACATTGCACTAGCGTAATCAATCCGATCGCCTCACTGGAAGAGATAAACCATTCAAACAATTAAATATCGTTCTTGTTAAAACCAACATGGCGCGAAATCTTCCAAAACAAGGAAACAGCGGCCGAAAGTAGATATTTCTCCTCCCGAATAGTAATTACTTGGTCATGTGCTCAAAACAAACGCGCTGATTGGCTAATAGGATGACGAGACGCGCGTAAACAGATACTACGTTTTCATTCATGTAACATGTAATCGATAAACCAGTTGTATTTCACGTAAACGTCTTTCAAGTTTTACTCTTCGCGTGCTTAAAAATGTGTCAGATAAAATCGAGATAAAATCTCCAGTTTTTGACCCATGAAAAACAATTCAACAATACGATATGAATTCCAATTTTTGACATTTTTGTAAATTTAAAACGTTTGTGTTCAGTGTTTATGTTAGCCTGCATGGCAGGTGATGTATGTAAGCGGTCTCGTCCTCACCAATTTTTGAAATTATAAGATAACATCATTCTATTGTACATCATTCTACAATCCCAAAGAATGAAATGAGACTTTCAGGACTTTAGAGTCTTTGTACTGCTCATATTAACGCATTTCTAAAATAAACGCCCTCTTAAGATCAGCCATCATCACGTGACGTTACTATTCTGTACTTATTTTCTCAATATACTTCGCTGTATTACACGAAATTTGTTCGATTGTGTTCAGATTTTGTGGCTTTATGGTTATAGTTATGATTTTTAACACAAACGCTTTTCTCTAATATAAACCATCTCCTTCCAAACTATAAAAAGATATATGGTGTCCTTGGGCAATCCAAGGACCTTACACTATTATTTGTCTGCCATACAACAAAAGATTAGTTTTCATCAGGTTTTAGTTGTAGTTTGTCTAATGAAGACTAGAATATTCATCACTTTGCATTAGATATAAAATATCTTTCACACTATTATCAGAATCTCTCAAAACATACAGTTCCAAATTCAAAATATAACTTACAGAACAAGGATCCTTAGTAATCCTAAACAATCCACAACCTATGGTATTAGACGTACTCGTCAAAACAAGAATGCAAGTTTATGCAAGTTAATGTGTGTTGAATGTTTTGCTTCAGTTTGACTGCTAATGACTTCCCTTTCCAATTTGTGCCAGTTTAAATTTCAGGCAAATAAGCAAGAGTTGATAGAAGTTGTCAAGCATTTGTGGCCTAACTGGCCAAACTCAAACACAGCTTACAACTTGCATCAACACACATTCCTGCTTGCCTGGGCTTCAGTCTTTTAAAAAACCAACTATACCTATATAATTTTATAACCAAACTACCGTATTCTTTCATATTCATATTTTAGTCAACAATGATTATTTTTCCTTGATACAGATGTATTCTATAGACATGTGCCAACATGCCATCCTAGGTTAGGCATTAGACAAATTGGTGTGTTAGGAAGGTTCTGCTAACCCCCCTGTGTAGAATATATATTGTATCACATATCCTTCACAATCATGTAATCTTTCTTTATTAACATATCCAACAATGCATCATGTATGTTATAATAGCTCCTAAATTCTTGAAATTTTATCAGGCTTTTTTTCCAGAATTGTTTCACCCCAGATGGTTTATCTCAATGTCTCAAATGCCTATAAAATATTTACTTCAAATGGATAAGGCCAGAGGTTCCAGAAAACTTGAAAGATTGCTCAATCTAATGAGCAATCAAAATAGAAAATGTGGGCTGGTAGAGTGGTAATGTGTTTCATCTATCAACGATTTCAAGAAGCAGATTCCTGCCCAATACCAACTGTGATGCGTTATTTGGATATTGTTGTCCACAAGCTGCCAGAAATGTCGCTCAAAGCGTTTATATTTCGTAAAATACGAGTCGGTTTTCACAAACATATAAAATATTAGAACTTGTGGGGTTTTATATTCAAGAGGATGTATATGGATATATGCACAATAAGTTACAAACTACATATTCAATTATAAATTTGCACATTATGTATGTCCTATATTCCTATTACGTTTAAAAATTCGTTCACTATATATCAAATACAGGTAACTCTGAAAATAGAATTCGGGTATATATAATATATCAGAAACATCAACATTTGACACTGCAAGGAAATGACTGAAAACGCATTAATACTTCTTGCGAAATAGCGATGACTTCGAGGAAGAAAAAATTAATTTGATATTCATAGGAAATATTCAAAACAATACTGGATACGTGGTCGACATTCGAGTTGAAAATCGCTTCGCATTCAAAGATTTCGTATCACTACTATTCAATGCAATACCATAGTATAGTATATAACAAAAGTCCGTCATCCTGTTCAGTTTAAGTGAAATAACACAAAAATGCTTTGAAAAGCTTTATTTCCCGTGTTGTTAAACATGCCTGCTTGCCATGTGGTATTAATACGACACGACAAATCCCTACGCAATAATTTTAACTTACCTCAATAGTATTTCAAATTGAGAAATCCTTTAGTCTAATGTTATCAAGTTTCTAACAAGTGGTAAAATGGTTTACAATACTAGTGTTTGAGCCAAAATCAAACTCGTCATTCAAACACGTAAATACTCCAAATCAATAGTTCGAGTGCTTCACCTTTGGCTTCTATTCCGGTCCATACGTCATCAGTCGCTGAAGTGTTGAACGTGGGCGATGTTGTAAGTCGCGGCTTACAGTATTGTATCTATGGTATCAACCAGGGGCCGGTTGTTCGAAAGGCGTTTAGTAAACGGTGGATAAGCTAAAATGGAAAACCAAATTATCTATCTATTGAACAACTGAGTTGAAATATTTCGATGTAAATAGTTTAATTGTCATTGGAAGTTATTTTTCCGTAATTAGACTTCCCAACACTGCAAAAAACTATTTTACTGGGTCTGCGACATTGAGTGAAGACAACGATCGATAATATCATCAATCAATACAATAAATTCCACAATCGATACAAATCGATTCATTGAGATAATTTTTTCCTTTATTGGATATCCCAATGATTGTCACGTTCCCCCCTTTCACGGTAATTTATACAATAACTGATGTGATGGTTGCGTATATATATGATGAGGTCCACTTTTGAACATGGCCTTGAACTGCCTCGCCCTCGGAACTTGTTAGAACTGAGTATGCAGTAAAAAATCGTTGTTAAATTGTTCATTATTTAAACGTCAAAACTTTTATTTTGCCATCAAATAGTCCAAAAATTGATAACCGATTATGGTAATCACCAGACTGACGAGATGTTTTATATCACTCACTACAATTAAAAAAAACGGGAAGAATGAAAGTTTTTCTTTCATTAATTGAACATTCACAAATCTGCTATAGATAATATGCTATATATATTTATCTACATTAAGCCACATTAGAGGAAATTTGATAAGTATCCAATATCGAATAATTTCACCGTGACATTGAAATCCATACTTTTTTTAAAATTGCACCGAACATGCTCAGCGATGGTGTTTCCACCATGTTTATACTGTTCTCAGTGTTGCAGGCATGTATGATTACCATATATGAATAACGTTACATGCAGTATATATATATATATATATACAAGCCTATTGTTTCTTGGCTGGGACAACCAAGGTCAAAGAGAAACCACATGTTCCTATGCGATGAAATGAAATAAGAAAAGCTATGTAAAAACGTGACCAGAAATGGGATGGGGAAGTGTTTATGGAAATAACACCGGGTTTTTAGTAAATAGTAGATGGAAAATCGTGCTGGCTTTTACTTTTTAAATACCTAACACTGCAATAGCTAATTGTCAGCAATTATTAGCGGATATAATAGCCCCCGTGGTTACGGCGCCCCTGACTCGACCATGGTCTAATACGCCATTTTCCGCCGGACTCGACCATGGTCGAATACGCAATTTTCCGGCGAACTCGACCATCGTCGAATACGCCATTTTTCGGCGAACTCGACCATGGTCGAACACGCCATTTTCCAGCGAACTCGACGCTGGTCGAATTAGCCGTTTTCCAGCGGATTCGACCATGGTCGTATTTGCCATTTTCCGGCGAATATGACCATGATCGTATTTGCCATTTTCTTGCGAATATATGATTATTGTCGTATTTACCATTTTCCTGCGAACTCGACCGTGGTCGTATTCGCCATTTTTCGCCGTACTCGACCATGGTCGAATGCGCCATTTTCCGCCGGACTCGACCATGGTCGAATACGCCGTTTTCCGGCGGACTCGACCATGATCGAATACGCCATTTTCCGGCGAACTCGACGGTTTCTTTCCAAGGCATATCACGATTCAGCTGATTCAAAAATGTGGTCTTCCCGCTAGTACAAACTCCAAACCTTTCTGAATATCGTTGAGACCAGCCTGTATATGATGTACTGTTTATCTGGGTGCTCAGGAACCCACGAAAAGCTTGTTTTCTAAGACCCAGGTTAAAGTTGGGGATGATATAAAAAGTCAAGCAGTAAAGCTAAAAACAAAATCACACACCCGTGGAAGAAGCATGGCGATAAGAATACCATGCATGCCCGTTCCCAGCAATGGGGGGGGTGTGGGGGGGTGCTTCACCCCCCCAATAATTTGTTCAAATCGGCCGGAGTCGGCAAATTGCTACGATAATGTTAGGCAAGTCGAACAAAATCGGCATTCAGTGAATTGTTAAAGTATCGAAGAAACTTAGCAATATGTAGGCGTTGAAGCAATAACTTCATTTTTGCCGTATTTTGAAATACTGTTTGTACAAATTGTTGTCTTACAATATTATGCTTAAACCATATTAGTTTAATAGTTTTGATTAGTTCATCTCAGTGTCAGAAGTGTCGTCATTTAGTCGTCGAAAATCGGCGGGAGGCTGAAATGTGAAACCCACGTTTACTTTATAAATTGTCCTCAGGCGTGATTTTTGTTTGACTGTCAGTTCAGCCTTCACTGAGATATTGGAACTCTAGCTCCCCTGTCGGGGAGAATTTTACAATTCGGGGAATGAACAGGAGATACATTGAGTCGCCCTCTATTGTTTTTATTTCTCCCAAATAAAACAGATAAACTGCTTCAAAATTTAACTTAGTATTTTACATTGTACATGGTTTGTAGCATAAAAATTTTCATGAAAAAGTCCGCGATAAGACTCTGAAATGCTAATTTCCAAAGATCTAGAGCAATCAAATTTCAAAAATTTTCTCGCTCGGCGCCAACCAAGGTGGCGCCTCGTGAGCATAGGCTCCAAATCTAAGGCATGGGACTGAAGCAATAAACCGAAAACTGTGCTTCCTTACCTTTCTACACGTTAAAGACAACCAGGAGCTCAGCCCCCAACCCCCTGTCGGGGAACTTAGCCCCTGTGTCGGGGAATTCCTGGCGCCACCCCTGTCTTGAATCACTCGGTATTTTTACCCCTGACACCCCCCCAATCCAAATCACTTCGCGACGGCCCTGCATCGCAGCATGTTATTTCTTTCATTTTTGTCTTTCAGGCACCCTGTAAAGACTAAGAAGCATGCAAAGAAAATCGCATTCTTTTGGTGAAACTATGATTGAAAATAAGGACGTATAAGTGTATAACACGAGTGAGAACACACAAAGACGTCAACCATTCGAACAATAGGCGGGACGACTTAATTCAAATTGGTTGGAAAGAAGAGCATTTATTGTAACATGTGAAACCTATGTCCACCCACTGATTCTACTCCATGCATTCTTGGGCTAGATCGTCAGCTTCAATGGAACGTTAACTGATTAGTTTTATATATATAGTGGCAAATTTGAATAGCAAAAGTGCAAAACAAACATTTATTGCTGACACACACCGCTAGCTGTAATGAAGCTGACAGTGCATGTGGCATTATTATATCAATGCGCGTATCAAATTACACAGTTTACACAAGACCTTGTTGCTGTTGTGAAACAGTTTAGAAAATGAATAATTAACTCTTTTTATTATAGGAAATGGTAAAGGTTTTCGTTAAGGTTTTGGAAATATTACAACTGTAGTGACTAGTCAACGTATTAATTACCTTTATTAAAAACGGCTGACGCAAAAAGTAACCCTCCTAATCCTATACTCCCCGCGAGCCCGCTCAAATTAAATATTGATTATTCAAAAATTTTTAATAAAACCACATGTTGCGACGTCGAATTCTTGTCAACAGCATGCAGCGCCCAGTAACGACAAGCATGAGAGGCAAATTGTGGATAGTAAGACGCAATGTCTTCGCTCTATTTCTACTATCATTGATTCATTGGACGAAACAGGAATCTCTTTGTAAAAGTAAGTGACTTCTATACCACTTCTTGGAAATAATTATTGGTGCTTGTCTTTGCTTTCGAGTCTCGTTGACATGTAACCACATGAAGCATGGCTTCTTTCGCTTCCACACCCGGCAATCAATGGAAATAATTTTCAAGCATCATTATACAGATATATATGGTCAAAATTATGACGCTAAAACACTTGCCACCGATTATATATGCATGTATATGTATAGTGGCTATATATGCAGCAAACTGCTTGGCCCTAGCTGTATAATCATTATTGATTCAGCTGCAAATTTGCTGAAGTCCATATCTACAATATTACACAATTTTATTTTACCTGCTTTCACTTGTGATTGAATATAAACACACCACTATATTAGACCAGAGCCAGTGAAGTGAACAAGAAGCGTTATGAATACGACCTCAGGCTCAGAATAGCTACAACAAGAGATTGTTGATATGGACTATAATTCCTGCAATGTTTCTTATATAAACAATAGAATAGATGTCAAATATGGAAGTGTTCAAACCTTCTCGACAATCTTATCTTTGTTCCAGTTATATTGGAAAACCTTGAAGTCATTTTCCACATGCGCAGCAGCACAATTCGATCAATTTCGCCTAAACTGTGGAACGATGCATGAGTTTTACAGTCAAAAAGCTGAGTAAGAGTAAGTGATGCTCGGGCAAGGCTCAAGTAAGAACGATAAGACTATAAAGGGTGTGTTCAGGGTATTTTAGCCGCTATATTTCGGCAGAGTGCGCAAGAACGGGTTCTTCCTCGTGAGGAAATACTCAATACTAAGTACTCAATCATGACGGCACTGCTTGTAAGAACCATTTCGAGCTTTAGGTACAAATGCCGGCAATTTAGTATAAACCCTCAACTCTGTCTGATATATTGGCCAAGTATGAACATTTGACACCTCAAATGTTTTAAGGTCTGCATGTGCATGTTCAGGCTGCCAGTAACCCAAGTATTCTTTGGAGTAAATAATAATTTCTATGATTTAAAAACATAATATAATCCAATCTGCCGGCTCACTATATCTACTAACTGTAGTTATGGTATCGTCAGTCGTCACAGTGTGGTATCGTCATAAAAAACATTCCGCCGCATAATCATGGCCAGAAATTGCGGACATGGAATATGCAGATTGCCGTAGCAAATTTGCATATCTGTTCAAATATTATTCGTTTGCAGAACTATAAATTATATTGCGCATTCTTAAATTTTGCAAAATTTAAGAAAATCATTGCATCTTTGCTATTTGCCCTGGTTGTTTCTTGTAACTCGTGTCATATTGAAGATCCTGAGGTAATATTTTGCTGGCAAAGGTTTATGTCGGCTCTGCATTTTTATTTTATTTCTACGCTATTACGGTTTTCGTTTTATATGGTATTCAACGTGATAAATGACCAAAACTTTGTTTTGAAAATGCAGGACGAATACTGATAAAACATTTTGAAATACTGTATAAAAATATTAAGATTAACTTGCTCTGCAACGAGCAATTAAGGCAAATTATAATTGACCTACCTAAAGGTGTATTTTTAGCGTTTAGTACTGTGCACATTACAGTTTACTATAAACTCACGAAGCTTTATTTTGACACCATATGCAAATTTAGGCGGAAGTAGAATGTTAAATATGTCCGAATTTTCTGGCCATGTTTCATGTTTCATTCAATATCGAAGACAAAGCGGCCATCACGTGTTGTCTACAACATTATTTACTGAATTTTATTTAATAACTCCGTGATGAACACCTCTTGTCTCTAGTTTATAAAAGTAGAGTTGAATAAAAATAACTTGTTAATTTAACAGAAAGAAGTACAAGTATATATATATATATATATATATATATATATATATATATATATATATATATATATATATATATATATATATATATATATATATATATATGTAAAACGATTTGGACTCATAGCCATAGAGTCACTGCCGAAATATTACAATAATCTCATAATCAGTTCGCCAGATTTGAACAAGATTATTACCCTCTAATCCACTCAGTAGCCGTTATTTCAGAAAGTAATATTGAAAGTTACCGATATATTTTACCACATGCTTACACGAAAGATATTAGAAACTATATTTCGGAAGATTTTTATTTTTATAAGACATATAATTATAACTGATAACAGCAAAGTTTTAAAATACTTCCCTATTTAATATCGCTTAATAATTTAATTTTTGAGCTTTTATAGTTATAACTGAGCTAAAATTCTATGATTGAGCTAAATTTTTACTTATACTATGATGCTCATACAAATAAGATGCCCCTCTATACACAAAAATAAAAGCTGACGACGTGTTGGTCTTTTAAAACTATTATTTTGGGGATGAAATTTATTAACCGCGATATTGATTTAACGATAAGGATACTTGAGTCTTGACATTCCACGAAGACCAGCTAAACGGAACACTTCACCTGAAAACGTCCGACTTCCGTTGTTGGCCTTCATGTCTATCATGCTGTACAGTTCATAAAAATATTCTTGTAATTTTGTGGGACGAACGTTTAATTACTACTCAGTATAATAAACTGCTTGCTTATTATTTTTACTGCAAAGTTTTCACTTCGGCTTCGGTGTTTTACTAAGCATAGTTTTACGATTTCAACGTCCCTTTGTTTTTCAGAGAAAGCCCGACCTCCACCGAGTGGATGCTGTCCAAAGGAATATTCAAGATACTGCTGTCCAATTGCTGGTGATAATGAACTAGTTAAGCCTTGCGAGAGACCAAAAAAACTGGTTAATAAAACATCACCCGTGAGACCTGTAACGCCGAAGTTTAACGCAAAAACAGACTGCGTTCACCCCTGGCGTACTCAGGCATGTGCGGGTGGGTTTTACCTGCATGCCGGTGATGGAAGCATAAAGGCTTGTCCAAAAGGTATTCACGTGTTCGTCGAGTTCCAAACTTCAGATTATTCGTCAAATACGCAGTTTGAGACCTTTAGCTCTATTTTGAACTTATTTTACTTTTCAACCCTGTAAAGCATTATTTTTTTGTAAATTAACTCTCATCGTGTTTTTGTTTTCGATGACCATCCTCACTTCTTATTCTTTCACCACCTGGATTGTAAAAACCGTGCACTTGCACAAAATTAATTCAAATTTCAAATGGCACATAGTTTACCCAAGATTGGAAAACAATGAAATAGGATCACTATTGCAATAACCGCAAATTCGGCCATTATTGCTAGATTTCTGTGTTTTGCAAACCAATGACAAACTTCGTCATCTTTGCGGAGTTAGGGCATGTAATATTTCTGTGTCGTAGCTATTTTCGCTTTGGCTGAGTAAAAATAAGCTCTCCTTTTGCTTTGTTGCGAATTGTAAAAACGTCAAGCCCACGTCGTAACTCCGTGTATATACTTTTCAGCATTGCTCAACATCATTGCGCAACGCTTATAATATTCTTTGTCCTTGATATGCCAGAAATCAATTTGGGGATTACTGTAAAAAATCATTCGTCAGGCCATCATTAAACATTCTACGTACGCGGTAGACAGCTCAATTTCATTGTTTGTCCATTTACGTCATGTTCTTAGGACTCAAACGAAACCAAACTATAAACTATATCTATTATTTTCGATACAGGTTTCTATTGTCCTCCTCAAGTGCTGTGTATTATTCCGTGTCCGTCTGGTGCTTATTGTATTCCAAAGCAAAAGAAAAATGGAACTGTAAGTTTTATGAAGTTATACTTTTTATCTTGAGAATGTGACAAAAAATATGATTGAAAAATTTGATAACCAAATGTGATAACCCTGACCAGTTGAACGCTGAATTCGGGCGGGATTTCAGGAAATGTTTTCATAGAAGCGGCATCAAACTGAGAAAATTCACCTGGTCTGGTTAAGTATCGTATGCGTGAGTGTATATTTAGTGGACAAATGTGAGGCTACGTTCACACGGGACAGGACGCGGATCGTGTCTGAATTCGTCCGGTTTAGGTGTTAACTCGGTAGAAAATGATAAAATTTTGACTGTTTCTACATGTTCGCACGAGTATACTGAACGAATTCCAATTTCGTCCGGTACCGTGTGAACGAAGCCTGAGAGCGAAGACATGGAGAATCGAGGGAACTTTGAGTAGGATGTGAAAAAATAAATATTTTGCATGCATCGTTAAGACTTACAAATTGAAAGCAGAGCAACTTAGAAATCCTTGTATCTATAAGCTAGAACACAATCGTATCTTCTACCAAGCCACGATATATTTTTCCTGAAAGTTAGGGCTAATACGTCCTAATCTTTTATTATTTATTTCTAATCGACAGAAAACAAAGCAGTGCGGCTTCGATGTCTGCTGTGGTGATAATTACGATCCCCCACTGCTGTTAAATATAACTGAAAGAACATGTAACGGTCTCAATGATTCTAACTGTATCTGTGGTGGCACAGATGTACCCAAACCATGCCCTCGTGGTTATTACTGCCCAAAACCTGATGTTATGAAACCATGTAAATCTGGTTATTATTGTCGTCCAGGAAGCACAGAACCTGATCCTTGTCCGGTAAGTAATTTAACACTGGGTAAATATATTAACAATCAAGGAGCAAGTCAGTATACTACTACTACCTTTGGAGGATGTTTTATCATGCCTGGTGAAAATAAATTTGCCTTTAACGAAGTGGATAGAAAAAATAAAGAAATTTTCGAAATAAAAGTATAATAAATTGCTTTAAATAACATCCGACCGTTACGTATCATAAATAACTCCGCTTTTTAAAGGGAGGGGAGATATTTTTGCCCCATAATATTAAAAATTGGAGGACGCTTCCCCCATGCACCAACAGCCGTGCTTGAAGGAAGATGGAAATTGTGTTACAAATATTAGCTAAGTTCCGCTTTATTTTCTTGATTTCAGTGGCTAACGAAATGCAAGGAGAACAGCTCAGCTCCAATTTTCAACTTCATTGCTCCGTTACTGGATCTCCTCGTCTTATTAATTTTCATTGCTTTACTTGTTCTTTATCACAAATGGGAGACAGCCAAGTTCTACTTCAATGTCTATTTCACGAGATTCACTGGAAGAGAACGATCTTCAACTAAAAGTTTTTGTGTAGATGCCGGAATAGCTAACACTACTGTCAAGCTTGGCGAGTTTTCAGACACTGAGGAAGAAATCGAACGAAAGTCGTATACAATTGACATAAGCTTTAAAAACCTTGGATTGACTTTAAAAGGAGTATGTTTGTATATTTTGGCAATTATGAAGGCGCTTGATTGGTCACAAGTGACAGAAGTGGTCACAAATACACTCAACTTGATTACCAAAGACGTAATTTAGGAGTGAACTTACGTCCAGATCATTTTTCAGAATCTTTCAAAACTAACGAAATCCTCCAGTCCGAAAGATTAGAAGAATAATTTCCTTCGTTTGCCTAAGAGACTATTTCATTTCTTTTCAGGGCGATCAAAAAGTTGTTTTACAAGGAGTGACCGGTCACGTGCGTTCGGGTGAGGTAACTGCGGTCATGGGGCCTTCTGGGGCGGGAAAGACAACGTTCCTCAACACATTAAGTGGCAAAGCGTACTATGGGGTAAATGTTTGGGTTTCCTGCGAAACAATCTCCTCTTTAGCTCCATTATTTCTTAAAGAAAAATGAAATTGCTGAACAATTCTGTTAAATTGAATTAAACGGTTCTGTCTTTTAGTAAAACTTTACTTTTAGTTGGAATCCAATTTTTTATGGAAGCCGAAAAGTAATTTTAACCGCAGAAAATTTTCACTTCAGGATGCAAATGGAGAAATATTGTTTAATAATGAAGTGGTAAAAGGAATCAAACAGTTCAGATCAATAACTGGGTTTGTTCCTCAGGTAGGGTATACGGAATTTGTTATCGGCTGGATAAAAACTGTTTCGGTATGCTAAATAATTTTATAGATTTTTTATATGATGTTTCAAAATAATATTACACCTCTTATTTGACAGGAGGACACGATGCACAGAAATTTAACTGTTCACGAAGTCTTGTATTATCAAGCTATGCTTCGCTTACCATCAGGAACTGATACCCGCACAATAAAGTATAAGATACGACAGGTATGAATTTAAACTGTTTCATGCAGTATTACGATGCAAAGTGTTTTTTCAAACATCCTTATTTACAGTTGGAGGAATGATTTTACAATCAGCATGGTTTGTCCTGACGTAATATAGGTTAATGCACCACTTCAATGCTTCGCTATATACAGTATACCCTGCATGGACTTTTAAATTGTTCTTTCTGTTTATTACATTTTTCTTCATCTTTCAGACTCTCAATATTTTAGAGATTTCTCATGTCGCTAACTCACTGATTGGTGATGAAGTATGCATATATTTCTGGATAATTTTGATTTTTGAGGGCACAGTATCTTAGCAATGTCTTATTTCAATGTGATATCTTCAAATCAAATCTGCCTGTGTAAACGGTATACTATGAACTGTACATGTACATGTTAAACTGTACTTAAACTGTACATGTTTATAATTCTTGGATTAATATGATTTAGGAAACAAGAGGCATTTCCGGTGGACAACGAAAAAGAGTTAACATTGGCATGGAGTTAATTGCTGATCCAACTTTGTTGTTTCTTGATGAACCTACAAGGTATTAAGCGAATGTTTACTTTTACATCATGGATAAAAGATTACTGGTAACGAAAGTGAGATTAAATATATGAAACGCGTTTCTTGAATTCAGTGGTTTAGATAGCACATCAAGTTTGTCAGTATTGAAGTCGTTGAGAGCTGTGGCTGAAAAAGGAGGATTGACGGTTTTGTGCGTTATTCATCAACCACGTTTTGAAATTTTCAGTAAGTGAAAACACGAATTAATCTATGACAGAGAAAATGCTGTTTTCCAGAAAGTATTGGCACACATGAACTACCTGCATGGTTTCATGCTTATGATTACGTGTTTGAACGTTCTTCTTTGCACAGGCTTAGTTGATTTCATAAACCTCAGGACATATCTAAGAAAATTCTGCCCAAAGTGACCTCCCCATGCATGTGTATGACGTCCTAAAACTCGTTGCTTTATGTTAGATATGTTCCACAACATCTTGCTCCTTGGCCCTGGTGGTAAAACAGTTTATCAAGGAACCGTGTCTGGCGCGGCCACTTATTTCTCATCTCTTGGTTTTAATACTCCCGCCAATGTCAATCCAGCTGATTATTATATGGATGTTATTGGAGGATCGGTAAAGACAGGAGAAGAAGACGTAGATCTGTTCGAATCCTGGAATAAAAACTCTGCTGGGGAAGGAGAAACGTCTGAGGACGGGATGAAAAAAATAGATAGTTCTGGACCGGAAGGTAGGAAATTATGTAGAATGTACGCATCGTTTTGTAGAATACATTTCTAGTATGGTGACCAGTATGAAAATTCACCATTACAGCAACCATATAGTAGCATTCACGATATATACCGTATTGAAAGCAAGATAATCTTAAGCAACAGCTAGAGCAATCGCATGATATTTGTGGTAAAATATTCAAATGTACGAAATTAACCCGTTAAACCATTTGTTTTTAGAAAAACGTGTTCTACCGAACCCGCTTTATCAATTTTTCACATTCACTAAACGAGAATTTCTGCTTCAAATTCGTCTGGTAAAAACTTTGCTTATTGACGTTTTCTTGGTATTCTTTGCTGGTGGTGTTCTTGGGGCCCTGTACCTTGAGGTAGGACGCCAATTTATTATAGTTATTTGATTTTATAAAGCACACGCATGCAGAGTTTTAAGCAAAATAGACTTGCAGTCGCAAGAAAGGTTTCACTCGTAAATATCGTTTATTGATGCAGGTGAAATTAGAGAAATTCACTGGGCTCTGTCGTATGAGTGGGATGGCAATAGGGTTAACATCGATGTTGGCATCTCTGAGATGTTTTGGGAACCATAGAACTACATTTTGGAGGTAATGTTTTCAAACTTTCCATTCGGAATACGGCATGCAGGAAAAAATAAAAAATATACGCTTTATATCCGCATCTAAAATTTCTTTTTTATCTTTTAGGGAAAGTGCTGCAGGTGTGAACCGAGTTAGTTATTTTCTGGCGGTAAATTTTGCTCAGTTGCCAATCTTGGTAATAATGCCTTTGGTTTACCTCAGTCTTCTCTACACTCTGACGTCACCACGATGTAAGAATATATTATTGCATAAACCATAAAAAAACCATTTGACATAGTTAGATATAGACCATTTGATATAGACCAAATTAGTAAATACGAGTAGAACATTTAGTTTGTTATATAATTGTTAAACAAATTTCTTTATATATTTCAGCATACTTCAGCTCTCATTATACTGCAGTGTTTTGTGCCCAGTTATGCTGTTCTGGCATTGGCTATGCTGTTTCCACGATTTTTAACCCCAAAAGTTCACAAATGGCGTCTGTTGTGGTAGTTTTGGTAATGGCTATGCTGTCAGGTCTGTATATATTGCTATAGTATAGTAGTAAAAGGCTTCATAGACTGTTGATTGGGCCGGAACAGGCGTCCTTCTCCGCCAAAACTCCAGTTTGGTTAAATAATATACACTATATACAGTTTGTTCACTAACGACCAGGCACAATATAATTGTTTAAATGCATTCTTAATTCATGCAGGGTTTTCACCAACATTGTGTAAACTTGATGATTTGGATTTCTTTGGACCTCTTGGTTACAACTTGTCCTATATTCGCTGGTTTGTGGAGGCTCTGTTTGAGAAAGAAGCTTTGCGATATCCTGACGTTGATCGTCCAATACGTGACAGAATTGCCTTCCCTGACCATTATGCTTTAGATGGAAATTTTGCTTTTTGTATGGGAATAATTATCATCATGGCTGTCGTGTTTCGCTTGTTTGCTTTAATTTTCTTGCTCTTTACCAATCGTGGAAAACAACAGTAATTCACTAGCTTTTAGTTGTAGTTTTTGAGACTGATATATATACTCATGCACACAGGAACATTTGATTTCAAGCTAATTTGATTATTAGGGAACTAATAATCAATTAATTTTCGTTATAAAAAACTTGTGCATGGACATGAAAGAAAAAATTAGAAATCTGAAAGGAATTACAGTTCAATGCATCTTGCGCTCTTACAACCTGGCTGCTTTTAATCATTTTCTTAACGTATACTGTATTGAGGTATAATAATAAAGCTTTTTAGGTAGCTATATGAGTGTTTTAATTCATCAGAGTGACACATATGCATATGTTGGTGGAACACATCAAAACTGGACCTAGAATTGTTTCACTTATATTTCTCTTTAATACTCAGTCACAAAGCCTTCCTCACCTCCTGTTGACTTGAAGTTATTCACCTCATTCTCAGCTCTGAATTCTGAAATTCCTAAAAGACTCACAAATAGTTAATAACGGAGGCCTTTATGTTGCAACGTCGAGTTGTTGGAAAACTGAGCTGCTTCGCTGCTCTTCAGTTATTTCGGAAGAATTTACTTTAAACAAGTTGTTATGAAGGCATTCAGCCTAAGGCCTAAGCCATATTTATTTAGCGAATAATAATACTTATCTTGCTGGAAAGTATGTTAATTGGCACTATATTGACTATGAATTCGTATACATAACATTTTTACGTACTTTTGCATCTGCATGATTATAAACTTGATGCAGGAAGAGGATGATATAAATGATGCCAACGTATTATGATTGGCGTGTATTTAAATAGTAATTTCAATATATGTAAACTTTAGTTCTATCTCGTCTGCTGATATATTCGTATATTAATAAGCTGTACTTAAATACTTCATCCTATAGTCCTCTCAGTCTACACGTTTTTTTATCTGGCAGAATTAACATCTCATTAGGACAGCGGCAGCTGTAATACGGAGGTCTGGGATTGAGTAAACAAAGATGGCTACAACCTTTCTTCTTTCTGCCGCAAGGATTGGTTTCTAAAATGAAAATTATTCGGGAAAAATTGATATAATTAATTGCAGCCAGAAAAGTTGTTGTTTGAAAACATAAAACACATACCTCTAGGATACATCTGTTCGTGCACGACTCTGATTCCTGTTGGTCGAAATGATCCAACGCCTTTTGAAAAATAGATTTTTCCAGCCAATTTATCTGCCTTGAAGATTTTATTAGCCACCCAGTCCGTCCATATTATAGAACTGTTATAAACTATCAAACCAAATGGATGAATTGATTCTTCTGCAACAACGATTCTTCTTAATGAACCGTCCAAATTTGACGTCTCAATTTTATCCAACATGGCGTCTGCCCACCATAACTTCTCTTCGTTATAATCAATTGCAAGTCCATTTGGAAAACCAAACATTCCTTTAACCACAGTTTCTCTTGTAGCTATATCACCATTCATTCCGCATCGTTCAATCTGAGCATTCACACCCCAGTCAGTCCAATACATGTATCTACAAAGAAGAATATCTTTAACGACAACAAGAATCACTTGCATTTAACTAATTTTCACCTCTGTAAAAAGGTTGAGAGGTGCGTAGATTGCAGTCATAGGCAATGAAAGGAAATAGAGGAAACGATGTCAGGATAGATATCTTTTTAGCCGGGGAGTTATTGGATTTTATTTCATGGCTTAGTGAAGAAAGGGCATTATTCTTGTAATTTTGCGTTAGTGAGAACGACTGTGGCATTTTCTTGTTTTAAATATATAATTTTGTCGAAAAGCTTCACCTTGTTTTTGGGTGTAAAACAATCGCTCTTGGTTTGTTAAGATTTTCATCAATCAGAGTCAATCTTGAGTTTGGCTCTTCAGGGTCGGCAACCTCAATCACCCGTCTTTTCCCATCTGTCCAGTACAACTTTCTGTTAACCCAATCATAAGCTATCCCATCCACCGACTCCAGATTATCTGAAATGATCGTTTCGACGGCACCAATATGACTTAAGGAAACACGTTTTATGGTATCATTCACGACATTTGACCAGTATAGATATTTTTTCTTAAGATCAACATCAATTGCAGCGGCACCACCAGCAATTCCGGCTAAAACTGGACTGATGTGTTGCAAATCAACATTTGAGTAGAATATTCCAACACTATTTGCAAACAATATGTATGGAGGACTGTCTGTAACAAAACAAGATATAAAACCATTTTATTTCTTTTGCGAGGGACACGATTTTCGAGACTCGAAAAAAAGAAAATATAAACAAACTAACCTTGTATTGTACAGGTTTTCTTGTCTTTCCATAGTTTCATACCAGTAGGACAGAAACAGGAATACGACTGTTTTTTGTTTGGTGATAAAAGACAAAGATGACTACACTGTCCATTGTTTAAGCCACAAGGATTACGTTCTATGTAAAAAATGCAATGACCTCACTGATTAGCATGCAGTGTTTAAAACGGTTTTTCATTTTTATAGTTTTTTTTTGTCTGCTACGGTTAAGACCGGCCTATCAACAAAGCTTGATTTGCGAAGATACGTAAACTAAACCTGACAAATTTATATAGAAGGGTTTCAGTAACGTACGAAACTCCTACCTTTGAGTTGCTGATGTGGATGTACTATCTTTATATCCATTGGAAGCAGGTCTTGTACACGTTGCGCAATTGTTATTCGTCCGTTTGAACCTTTCTTTGTTTCGTAAATACATTTTTCTGTCCACTCAGTCCAGAAAATACTTTGCCCAAAAACTGCGACAGAAAACGGATGTTCCAGTTCTCCATTCGTGCGACTAATCTCAATCCTTCTTTCTGTTCCATCGAGATTTATACTTTCAATTCTATCCATCTTAGCATCCACCCACCACAGCCGCTCCACTTGGTAATCAATGGTCAAACCATTCGGCCATGAGATATTACTACTTACCAAAACCTCTCGTGTGTTAGGATCTCCATCCATTCCACATCGTTCTATTTGTTCGGAACCCTCTTTCCATTCTGTCCAGAATAACAATCTTAAAAAGTAAATTACAGTTGTGTCGATGCCTTCTCCTGCTCATTAATAATAATAATAATTATAAGTTGTAATATATATATTGTATTATAGTTGTATATTGTCATAGCCGAATGATATAACGCCGTACAAGGCGATAAAAAATGTAAGACCAGTGACCTCAACCTAAAAAAGCTAACATCATTTGATCATCAACAACTTTAAATCATTCAAGCACCTGTCATGTGAACTTCTCTCAAAAAACTAACATCAAATTAACTGCACGCCATTAAACGCAATAATTGAAAGATGATGACTATTTTATATAAGATGTTAGATTATTTTGTGATCTTAAAAGGTCTTTTCACACGGTCCATTTTTGTTGGATTAACAACAGACTACATTCCGTGAACAGACCTTAAGTGAAATAAATTGTAATCTAATATGTAGCACCTGTATTTTGGATAAACAACGATCGCTCTTGGGTTTTGAACGTCTTCACCGACCAACACAGCACGGTTACGTCCATCCAGTTCAGAAACTTCAATCTTTCCTGGAGTTCTATCAGTCCAGTATAGCTTACTTCCAACCCAGTCCACCGCTATTCCTTCAGGACTTGCCAAATTGAACTTTATCACAGTCTCATAAGAATTATCTTCTGCTTCAATTTTAGCCCGGTGTAAACTATCGTGATGTATATCCGTCCAGTACACCATCTCTTGTTCAATGTCAAAATCAATCGCTACAGCATTTGGCAGTTCATTAAACAAAACTCTAGAACTGTAGTCATGTAAATCCAGCCTGTTAATGCTATTTTGTGTACTATACAGGATGTACTCTATACAAAAGCAAAAATCTACGTCATTTTTGAGACCCAATTCAAAAAATTAACAGCAAAAATTTGAGTAGCATATGTAAATACACTGTTTTATGGAATAGGGCCTAGCCTCTCCAGTCTTTGTCATTACGTTACTTAAAATGCAATATATCTTTACGCTTACATTTTCATCTTAGACTTAATTATATAACAAAATCCCCAGAACGTTTTGCTCCATGATAGTATAATGTAGTATAGTGTATATTGAAGTTAAGACACATTCCTTGCTGACATGCGTAAACCGCTCGTTGAAAAACAAGGAATGTGGTGTAGTTGGAACTAATAGTCAACCGTGGTCAAATTTTTTAGGTGCATGTGACGTCTCATTTATACATATTTCATACCTTGGCATGCGTTTTCATCAGACCCATCCAAACAATCAACGATTCCATCACAAATCTTATTTCCCGAGACACATTCTTCACCACACTCATGTTCATCTTGACGACATCGAGAACTCAACAGTGGAGAGGTACCTTAAGAGGATAAAATGAAAAAAACGATTTTTTATGGTTTTGATAAAGCTGACAGTTTGTCGATGCATATCAGAGCATTAATATAAACTTAACGTTATTTAAGCGAAAGGAGAATGAAACCAGAGAAGGACGTACTCAAATCGAAGTGACATGGTCAAGTTCATAAAAATGACTCATTTCGAAACCTCGAAGAGTCACAGTCATTCCAAGCTTCTTAAAAGTTAAAACTCTGGTAAGAGAGATCATGCATACGGCCAGCCCGGCTGCGGCTGCACTGCTTCTGGACTGGCACTCAATTCTTAGCGAAAACCGGATAGGCAAGGCACTGAAGGCTGTCGCAGTTTTTTCCATTGCAACATTAGATAGAATTATTACCTTAAGTTAGTCCAGACATGACAGGTTTTTATGCATACAGAATACGTTTCCATTCGCCGTTTTTTCACTTTTTAAAAATACGCACTTATTCTCTAATAAGCAATTTAACTTGCGTGTTAGCAGAGAAGCCCCTACCGCAGTTTCTTTCATCAGAACCATCTCTACAATCTCTGTCACCATCACATAACCACGAACTATGTATACACCAGACATTGTCACACAAGTGGTCATCCTTGTTGCACATTTTTGGGGGAACTTGACCTTGAGGTTCTGCTGCAAAGAAATGACGACTTACTTTGCAGTATACCAAATGACTTGGCAATTAATATGGTAAGAGAGTATGGTTGACACTCTCGTGTCAATGAAGAGATATTACAAAGTTTGGCAACTACAATATGACGGCAACGACAAACAAGGGCAAAGGGATTTAATTTTGTTTCACATCCACACACTTAACTCTTTCTAAGCTGCCGTCGTTTTTAGTGAAATTTTTAGTGAATTTCAGACATGTACACCGCATTTGCACAAGACAGGGTACTTTTATTTATCACTCTCAAAGTTGCATATTCTCTGCTTCCTATCAAATAAAATGATAAATTTGTGCCTATTTGCTATTTCTTTATACAAAACATTACCTTCGCATTCAATTTCATCTGATCTATCACTACAATCATATTCGCCATCACATTTCCATGGCAACGGGATACACTCGCCATTATGACATGGAAACATAGAACTATCAGCACCACATGCTGCGTATTCTGTAAAAAACATTTTTTTGAAACCAAAATTTAATTAATGTTACAATAAATCAATCCAGTCCATAGTTAATTCATTTATCACCTAAATAACATTAGCAGCATAAATAACAAGTAAAATATAAGTGAATATAGATTTACCGCAGTCTCTTTCATCTGATCCATCAGAACAATCTTTATCTTTGTCACAGATCCACGATTTTTTTATACATTTCTTGCTTTCGTTACATTGAAATTCGTCTGTTAGACACGATGTTTCACTATCTGCACATAATTCAAAGTTTTTAACTCCTTATCACTTAAGTATGTTTGTAAATGTATGGTGTTTCTGCATGGGGAGACTAGTCGATTCGGAATAATATGCGATACACTAATTATGTCTACCGACACCTGATTCAAAATATTCATGCAAAATTAAAATACCGGCAATTGGTCGCCAAATGTTGGCATGGTTGTTATGCCCTGCGGGGAAGGAACACTCTGGAAGACAGCTTATGTCTGAACTCACCACATCCCATTTCGTCACTGCCGTCTCCGCAATCATCATGATTGTCACAACGCCATAGTTTTGGAAGGCATTTCCAATTTCGACATGTAAAAAATATTGAACTGTTACATTTGTGAAAGCCTTAAAAAGAAAGTTGAAATGAGACCTACATATACTGCACTCAATTTGAAATATTTTGCGTCTGTGAAAAAGGGGGTGGGGGTAATATACTAAACCCCTCCTATACACCCCCAGGGTTGTTGATTTTGGAGGAGACATACAGGAATCTCGATGTTCATCTGTATTATCCCCACAGTCATCATCACCATCACATGTCAGTCTCCAGGGAATACAACGTCCATTTGTACAGGCAAAATCATAGAAAGACGAGCATGGTTTTATATCAACTGTAAAATAAGGAATTTAAAAGTAAAATTACAAAAAATAATGGAGCAAGTCCACTCAATTTTTGCAAAATTACGCATGTAAAAATTTTTAATGAAAACGCGGAACATACCACAATTTTGTTCATCAATACTATCAGCACAATCGTTATCCATATCACAGACCCACGCTTTTGGAATACATTGGGTTTGTCTGCCTTGGTCAATACAGGTAAATTCGTTGTTTGGATGACATTGGCGGTCTGAAAACATATTAACACCAACAAAAGTCCAACATTATCGTTACCAACATCATTAGAGTATAAATTCCCGCGCTCAAACATAAGAAAATATTGATTTATGCGAGCCAGGTACGTAAACCTAACTATATACTTACTATAACTTAACCTAAGCCTAGTTTAGCGACCACTGCATAAAATGTTTTGTGTTCGTTTTTTATAAAAAAATGTTTCAAATACAACAAAATTAAATTCGGCGCGAGAACAACGTAATATATTCTTCGACACAGAGAAATTATAACAACATTATATTGCGGTGAGATCTATGAAACTTTCTGAATCATTTACCTCAATGCAGTCAACATATAACTCTGTATAGTCGATAACAGATTAATTGACATTCTTTCAACATATTATTTAATAAATAGCGTTAATTCTGATTGAATTGAGGACATTATAAGTGAATGGCCATTTCCTTCATTCATACTTGATTTTATGCTGAATGATTTGAATGATTTATAATCGCGCACCCTGGTGTTTTAGTCAAGTTCCTTTAGTCATAATCAGCTTAATATGTTGTCTTTTTCATGGACTCACACAAAGGCAAACCACAAGAGTTAGAAACAGAAGGAAAAAAACAGATGTAAGACGTTGATGGCTGCAATGTATAGTTATCATTACATACGATGAAACAGTTAATTGGTCTAAGATTGAATGTATTAGGACCCTGTGTGATAATTTCCTGGCACGTGAAAATTGACGGAGTCAATTAGGTCAAAGACACGACAATCATGATTTATCATTCATCCAATAATTCATTGGCTTGCAAACAACGCAAAACTCCGTAGAACCAGGTGACGTAAATTACTAAAACTTTCATTTCTTACCTTCGACATTCACAAACAACTCTTTTCTTGCTACGCCATATTTATTTCTTGCTTCACAGATGAACCTTCCTTCGTGATTATTTTGAACGGGATCAATGCTCAAATAATGCAGTCCATCTTGTGTCATCATCTCAGAATAACGACTTTCAATATTATCTGCTGTTACCCAAGTGACAGTTGGCATGGGAGAACCTTTTACTTCGCATTGTAAAGTCAGCCTGCCATGTCTTGTTGCAGTTACATTACTGCTCATGTTTACAATGACAGGTGGATACGTCACAGTTAATCTTGCTTCACTTATCAGAGGCTGGCTCATGTTATTGGTGGCGATACATGTGTAAACACCATCATCCATGATCTGGACATTAATAACCTCTAACGTACCATCCTGCAGAACTTGAATTTTACCAAAACTTTCGCCTGGTTTTAAATACACATCGCCTCTTCGCCATAATAATTCAGGTTTAGGACTACCATCAGCAAAACAGTAAAATGTGGCAACGGTACCACGACGAGTGATCACATCTACTGGTCGTTGAACTAAGTACAAAGGAACTATACAAAAGGTAAAAATATTATAAAACCCATATTCGATGCATTTTTAAAGCCTGATAGCGTATGTATAAGCATGTATACACGTCAATGTGCACAAACTTCATCAGTGTGCAATAAAACTACAGCTAAAATATTTTTTTAAAGAATAAAACGAGTCGTATGAAAACAAAACAACAAGACAAGGCATACAGGTTGAATTTACAATGCGAAGTAAAGGGTTCTCCCATGTCCTTACAATTCAACTAGTGCAGGTATGCATCAGTATACTTGCACGGAAGATGCAAGGAACGACATATACAGAGAATATATTGAAATATTAAGTCTTACCAAAGAGGATGACAGCAACCACTGGGCTTTGTCTGAATTCTCCTTGATGTATCTCACAAAGGTAATATCCCTCATCATGCGGCTGGAATTTCATGATAGTCAATGATCCATTATTATTATCGACTACAATGTTTTCATTATCTGGGACAATCTCGTTATTCTTGTACCATATTACTGAGTTTGGCCGAGTTTTATTAGTGGTTGTGACGCAGGACAGATGCACTTTCGCATCTCTTTTATAATAACCACCTTCAGGAAGAACTTTTAAACCCTTGCCTATTAAAAAACAGATGTTAAAATATGAGAACATCGCAAAAACAAATATAGAATAGAGGCAGTGTTCAAAATCTTTCGTCCTGGATTTCTTTTTTGAGTAAGTGAAATAGCTTACGTACAATAGAAATCCGTCGGTCAAAAGTGAATATATGAGTAAATACCCCCCCCCCCATCCCTTCCCACCCAATTATCGTTCTAGTTACGCCCCTGTCTATCCCTCAATGTCTCGGATAACAACATCGTTAACTATATTGTTAAAACTATTAAATGGAAGTGAGATGAATCAAATAAATAATGATAAATATGTATTTGAATGAATCTGGTTGTCTTTATTATATTTACTGTCTTAATTACTTATGCTATATACCTTGGGCAAGTATTGCATACTGTGTGATTAGGAGAACAGCGACACTCAACCATGACCAAAACATTGCACCAAATACACTTAATAACGGCAGAAACAACAACTCTGTAGAGAAACAATAAATACCGAATTAGTTATCGAGGCTTTCTTTCATTTTCTCATTTTTGTGTTCACTGCACCACCATATCACGCCATATAAAATTACAATTAACAGTTTCATGATAAGAGTCATTGTAATAGTCGTCAATCGTCATATAGACAAATATAAACTATTTTATATCTAAAATTATTTGCATTCTGTACATTACCTACTGTACTACACTACAGAATCTATTGCCGCAATAACTGACGTAGTATTTTTGCAATTCTAGAAACGAAGTAGTACAGAAATCGCGGATTTTTCGGATTTTTCTGGTAAACCTTTATAAGCTGTGGCGTTTAAGATACACGATCTCTTTATCCAAATAATTTGATTATTTTGTAATCTTTCCTTATTCGGGTTTCTCATCGAAAACAGCGAGATACAGATTTGACATCCACTACCGCACTATTTTTTTTTACTGTGTGATTTGTCAATCTGTCCTCAATGGATCTCGGGTTTTTCAAAGCTTTGCAAGAAAGGTATGAAAGCATTCTGCTTAACAAAACCTCTCTACATTTCCCAGGAAAAAGTGTTGTATTTATATATATATGTATACAATGTACCTATGCAGAAACAGGGTGGCAGTCGTGGATATATTTATCTGTCTTTGCACTTCACAATTTCATCACCTTGAATATTCACTGAGTATTGTTAAAATAAGCATTTGAAGTGATTTCACCTGAAGGTGACGCTGTCTGAATGCCATGCAAATAATGGCTAATAATGACATTGTAAATAATTCTCGAATCATGGGGCATGTCAACAATTTAAACTATATTATAATCTATAATAAAAAACCTACTAATGCTGATGGCATTTTAAATTCTTGTATTAGATTAATCAAAAAAGACAGGATGGAGTGGTTGACATTCTTACGCGCGTATCAGGCACTGTATTAACCATATGTTAGTCAGTTAGTAGTTATATATAGCGACAGAATGTCAAGGAGTCAGACGGAATTAACATCGTTTCCAGAGCTATGCCTATCGACATTACTTCACGATAAGAATTAAAATTTTATCGACTGACCAAAAAATATAATGCTTTTCTGTATTGTTGAACTTGATAAATAAAATTTATCAAGCAAACATGAAAATAATGAACTGCTTTTAAAAAGGTTTCAAATAAGCTTTGTCCGCATTGATTTAACTGGGAGTACAATTACGACATTTTTTTTCCTGTTTAACACCTGCTACATAAAGTGTAACTGTACAGGATTTGCCCAAAATAATGTGATCGATAGTTGCTTAATGAAATGTTCTCGTAGTTGTACAATAGATTTCATGCCGTAATCAAATCTAAACGTCTTTATAGGCATCCTAATAGCTACGACGTTTCAGGCATTGGATGTTTTTGCAATGACTACATGATACGTAAATATCAACTTACATGTTTTTATCGCCCACATGCGGCTTTCTAACTTAATATTTCCTTGAGCGGCGAAATTCCAGCAAGAATGATTTCTTTCTTCAATCGAAACAACAACTTATTTGAAGCAGGTAAATACGTATTTAAATGTCGAATGTTTGGCGAAGTATAGAAGACAAGTACAATTATCGTATAACAAGAAATGATGAAAATGAGATCAAAGACAAAGAACAAATAAGTCAATGACCTTTCTTCAAGTGTAGAGCTGTGTGTTCGCACCTATGTATAATTACAATACATTCCAATACATCTTTTTAAATCATTTACCATTAACACGACAATAAACTCCGGAGCATCATCATAAGTATGTTACATCCTAATGCAAAATTTATGACCATTACTTTACTATAAATAAACGGAAATGAATTTTTGAACACATTTCGCATTATAAATACGACTGGCTATGAAGTCGATTTGATCAGCTTTAAAAATCTCACAACAGAAAGCATTTTATTCGTACGACGTGGTAAGTATACGAGGGGTAATCGCATTGTTTAGGTGAACTTTGTATAAACAAACAAAGCTCTCATGTTTGCCCTCGAACATGTGTTAAAAATGTCGAAATGCTAACACAAAATGCATGTTCGCGCAAATAATTCTAATTACATACCAATAATGACTCGCGCGATCCTCCTTTCAAGTTTGCGTAGACATTGCCTGTGCGTCCTGATATTTGTAGGTTTGACCGTCGTATAACGAGACTACAGTGAGTGTGACCAGACTGCTGTGAAAATGCACTGCGAGTATCGTAACTGTCAATTGATAAGCATCGACGCCCTGGGATAATCCGACCCAAGCCAATACTAGTCTTACCAGTCTCTTGCTCCTTGCAGTGGCAATTCTAGAACACAAATTATCGCGCAACTGTTTTTACTAGGAAGCTCATACTATTTTATCACCATTCATACAAAGTAAACCTAATTTCCTTTAATACTGAAACAATAATACAATCTTACTATGTTATCTCCAGCTATCTCCAGCGGTGAATAACTGTGGCAGCACTTGCTTGTCAGACTCACAGTCACAGTGTGTGATACCGCACTGATATATTCGTCACAGTTTCTCCGCCGTTCAGCAGGAGTTACAACGCGTTATTCTCATGATTAGAAATTGGAACTTCCTAGCAAGATCAGATCGCTGATTTGATGAATATATATATATATATCACTTTTTAGGTAATCTCATTCTGAAAAATTCACAATCAATGAGTCAATGTTTGTCATATTTTTCCCCTGTGGTGACAAGGGACGAAATATGACAAACGCCGCAAAACATGAATGGATTTACAAACATGAAAGCGTGATATCTGCGCCCGCATACCAGTGGAATTCGAAATGTGCAGCATTCAAGGACGTCGTTTATAGCAGCGAGCAGTGGGAAATCATGGAACACGCTGTTGTCATGATGCGGTATCGAGCTTTGATTAAATAACAGGATTACTTTTATTAGCAAATTAAAATTTGTGACAATGATTTTCACGCACTTTTCGTCATCCGCTTATCGTGCGGCTGCGCTCATCCGCGGAGCTTGGTTCCAGTCTTAGATAGCGCTAAATAGCTTGAGACTGGAATTATAATCCAAATACTCTATTAGTTTATTGTAATTACCATTGACCTAAAACACTCTGAGTCTCCGCCATGCACAGAGGCTTAATTAATTATTAATGCTTGAAAATTAGGCTAATAAAGATATAATGCTAATATGTGATTTATTTGCTTGAGAGACGAGTGTAACTAATAAAACCGTGATGAAAGGATCTATTAAGAAATCAGGATGCACAGTCGCATCAAAAAACCACATCGTTGCCCAACTGAAATCATGCAATAGAAGCTAGGTCACAACGTACTGCGCATGGCGTAACAATTTGAAGGAGTTCAGATTTAGTTGCTGGTGTCCTGGCCCCTGGGAAACATCTTAACTCAACAAGGCAGCTGACTGGCAGCATGATTGTATTCCTATTTATGAAGGCCCAAGAGAAATTCCGTACGAAAATCACAAGAATTTTTCCCACTAAAACGAGGTCATAAGGTCTCAGTTTATAAACACATAAAGAATGTTTATTTAGCGGTGTTTTTTGAAATAAGTCCTATAAAAGTTCATCAACAGCTTTTAGGCATGTCTCGTGCAATTTGATTCAAGAATTTTGCAGAAGCAGGACAAGGTGGTCAGTGAACTGCGAAGAAGTGATTTTGCTTACGTTGCTATCGTTGCCGTTTTTCTGAAAGACTGTCGCTAATTAAAATATTCTATTTCCGAGGTGCATGGCGCGTAAAATACAATTTACATTGTAAGTATTAAATTACAATTATTACAGTGGCGTTAATACCTTTGTCCCATTTTCCTGGATTGTTATTATTGTCTGTGACTCTTCGCAAAAAGGTCAAAATTCTCCGATGAAAGAAATGCTCCAAAATTGTACAGGCGTGGATTTGGTACTATAATCCAGAAAAAACATCTGCACAGCATCCGAATCTCGTTTCCAGGGTTAGTGAACTTTATCGCAACAAGCTCTTTATCGTGGTAAAGTTCAACCGCGCAAATTATAGAGACAAATAGACAATGTCTGATAAACGGTGTTCCTTGTTAAATTTGCAATAATTCCATCGCATTGCAAATCAACAGGAACAGGGGTATTTGGTTTGGAAAGAGCAAGAGCCTCAATTCTTAATTAAGTTCACTAACCTGAAGCACTGAGTCCAAAGCATATAAAGTTTTTTAAAAATTTATTTTAAAAATTTATGAGTTAAGCATGGTTAAATTAATCTCGCCCCCCCCCCCCCCCCCCTTCAATTATATCGTAAACACTTTTACTCTTCTTGATCTATAGCACTTCAATTCATAGACTTTCGACCTCTACATTGTTGTGGCAAAGTGTTTATATGTTATGCAATCGCATGAAATACGAACACCTCATGACATTTGGACGTAAGAGGTTGCCCATTCTGCATTCTGGTTTTATTACAGCTCATAAATTTGAACGTGTCAACCAAGTAAATTCCTGAAAAAAATTATTGAATTGAATTAAGCCGAGCGCTAAGTTCATGTTATTTACTCATTTCAATGCCTCAAAGTCATCTCACGCCTTGTTGAATCTGGGCTGAGCTGGATCATGTAAACAGCCCCTTAATGTGCTCATTTAAGTTGGGTCTTTCGGGATTTAGAAATGTTTATGAGCAAACTGGGGTATTGTTATGTTTTGCACTAACGTTGGGGAAAATAGCCTTATAAAAACCCAGTACACATGCTTGCACATACCTGTTGTTTCCTCTGCGAAAAAGGATCTATCATGACATTGATGAGCGATGCTTCATTCGTTTTTTCAAATGCTTCCTTCAGCGCGTGGTTTAGCTCTTGTGGTGTTTTTACAAAATATCCAGTACCTCCAAATGCTTGGATAATTTTTTCATATCGTGCTGATGGTGACAGTGCGGTTGGTGGAGCACTAAAAATGCATGCGATCATTTCATTATCATCTAATAAAAGATTCGCACTCAAAGGGTATTTCGTGCTAATGTTCGGGCTGAAATGACGTAATCCTATATTTGTCCCAGAGCATACGACTCACAATTATATCGTAAGCTGATTGACAAACCTTATTGCAGCCCCTTCGGATGAACTTGCAAGATCTTTCCAGCTTTCTTCATCCACGCCATTATAGATTCCGTTGTTGTTTAAAATAATGAAAACTATTGGTAAGTTGTATCTGAGAAGAAGTAAACAGAAATTATTTTCTCACAAATATTGAGTATATTTTCTCACCCACGAAGGTAGTAAAGGTCTCGGTTTCCGTGTTGTGTGATTTACAAAGACAATTTATGTCATTTATTTAACAATTAATATGCATAACATCATGGATGGACAACTATTGTGACCACGTAGTATTGTGACCGCTTGTATTGGTTTATTGATCTACCTGAAAACAGTTTCCAGTTCCATTCCCGAGAAACCAAAAGCGCTATCACCTTGGATACAAACCACACGACCTGCCGGAGGATCCAACCTTTCATCTTTATATTTCACCAACACTGCTGCAGCAATCGCAAAACCCAGACCTACTCCCATTGTACCAAAGGTTCCTGCATCCAGTCTGCAGAGGAAAATGTAACCTTATTAGGATCTCGTAAACTATGTTAAGCTTTGTTTCCATTTAGTCGTAATTGTCGTGAACACGGTCAAGGTGGCTGAGGTCAGTGAGGTGATAGAATATTTCTGTGTATGCTGTCATGATCATTATAGCGACAGTAACCTACCTATGTCGTGGTAGATAACATGGTAAAACTGTTCTGCCAATATCCATCGTATTAGCTCCTTCGCTGATAAGAATACAATCTCGTGGTACAAATTGCCGGATCTGAGGGAAAATGATGCTTTATTTTTTCCATTAATCTCATTTCTCGCTGTATCGCAAGCAAAAGAGCGAAATGTGAAATTTACCGGTCCAATTTAAGGTTTACCAATTGTATTTACTTAAAAATAAAAACAGTGTCTTTAACAGCCAACAGCATCTTTAATTAATTCGCTTGTTTACCAAGTTGTTTGCGCACAATTTCGTCGTTTGCATTCGATGTTAAGATCTGTCAACATACCTCTTTGTATGCTCTGTAAAAGTTCATCGGAATTGAATCATCATTTTCAAGTTCCTAAAAATAATGCATGTACCGTAAACTTGTGCCCATTTTGAACGTATAAAATTTGACACTTGATGGTGAAAGAGAAGACTCTGGCCTTAAGACCATGATGCTTTGGCAAAATTTATATAGTTGAAAAGATTATGGACCAAGAATTCTAGTTTTATCAGTTAAAATGGCATGGTGCAGGCCTGGTAAGGTCTGTTTCTGATATTTTAAAGTCTGACAGTGGGACTTCTCTATTTTAATTTCAAATCCAAAATATACATGCGCATTATAGGCTACTCTCAGGCGACTTTTTTGGATATTTTTTTAAACCTGCACCAATATGGCGAACTTCTGACGCCGAGATGAGAATGCGGCATCAACGCAGCTAAACCCAGTGGCTAAACCTCGTTGGTATTTCACTGAATCACTAGCTATCGACCTTTTTAGATTGAACGTTGGCAATCATCTTTTTCTTCAACTCATTTCTCCAGCTTGGTAATATTGTAAATTCAGTTTCTGTTTTGTGTTGTGTACTGGAGTTGAGCTAAAGGAAAAATAAGTTAATTTCGATTATTTCTAACAGAATATAACTTCACATCCCGAGCGTAAATTGCAGTCACTCCATGTTTTACATCTTCAAACACACAGTTTTCCGCCAAAATTGCTCGTAATGCATACAACCCCTCAAAATTGTCATTTATACCATTTTCATGACAAGTAAAATCATCTCTGCATGAACACATTATGAGGCAGAGTGGTTCTACTGTATATTTCGTACACCGTGCATTAACAACAGGACGTTAGTGTAGATGAATGAAAAACAAATAAAGAAATGTGTAAAGCTTGCCTGTTTCATAATTGAACATAGGTCACCCAACAAAGCGACAGCTGGTTTCACATTGTTTCCAAGCTCTTCAGGAGATATATCAACCTGAACATCGTAACAGAATCATTATACTCAAATATAAACAGTTATAGGAAAAAGCCCACTGAATACTGTAATGTGTATGCCATGCTTATATTTGCAGAAATAAAATGAAAAATTCGCGAGGTAAAAAGAAAAAAGCAGGCAATGCTAGATTAGCAGCTGAGAGAGAGTCTCGTCTAGCCGTCTAGTATCGACTCCTTGGGCAAATCTAGAGGCCTAATTACGAGTTACACAAAAACAAGTTTTATAAAAGTTTTATGGAGAAAGCTAGGAACCTGCAGCCTCTAGTTTTGTCTGAGGATATAAATTCTGTACTAGACTGTGCCTGAACATTAAATTCTGCATGACAGTGTCTACATTTTTAAATCACTTTCCTCAAAACTAAAACCTGAATAAGCAAACCTGAATAAGTTTGACTTGAGAATTAAATCTGGGCGGAAGACCAAAATGAAGAATCCAGTTCATTCTTGCTCCAAGTAACAATACAACATCAGCTTTTAGCAAGGCTCTAGAAAATATATCACATTTTCACGATTCTCACCTTGTTCATCATTATGAAAAATTCCAATACTTATCAATCGGCAACTACATGTAAATGTATATATATATATATATATATATATATATATATATATATATATATATATATATATATATATATATATATATATATATATATATATATACAGTAGGAGGCAAAAGTTTGAGTCCAGTGACTGTATTTCATTGTTATAGCAGCATATATTAATATCCTACAGAAAACCTTACCGATAAGTGAACTAAAAAAAGTAAATGAGTAAACAGAAAAATACATGCTGTACAACAACTATGAGATGTTATGATATTCATTTTACGTATGTTAATGTGCAAATATGCATTACATGTCAATGCTTAGTGTCCCTCTTTTTTGCTCTTGAAATGACCTTTATTCTTTCTGGCATAGACTCCATAGGTTTTTTAATGTCGCACGTTCAATACCTTGCCAGCATTCGTTGACCACTTGCCTCAAGTCATCCTGGCTGACGGGTCTGTGCCTCGCCCATTTCCGGTTAAAACGGTCCTATAAGCGCTCCATAGGTTTTAGATCTGGAATTTGAAGAGGAAAGCCATGAGAACGAGATCACCAAAACCAATTTGCTTCTAAAAGATTTCTGGCACATAAAAGATGTGCATGTGCTTAGGGGGATTGTCATGCAGTTAGACGCACGATCATCTTTGTACCAGACGAAATTCCATGTCCTTGAAGAATTGGATGATACTTTTCTTTAATTAGGATCCTATTATATCTTTCAATATTGCCAAACCGAGCATGACCGAAGCAGCTAAAAGTTTGCTTGAGTAGGATTTAGTTTCTTCGAACCTCTCCAAGGTTAGTTGCATACCACCTTTTTAAATTCTCCCTTTTTCTGCGATCTTACGAGGAAAGAATCCTTCAATACTTAATACAACTATTTGTCCTTGTGCACCATCACTTTGCTTTTTTCCCCACCCATCTTGGGCAGTGTAAAGGAATAAGAACTTTATTTTGTTATAATTTAGATCATTAGGACGAAAAAAGTGTGCAATTAATATGGTTTACAGTACTGAAACACTAGCGCGCATGTCTTAACTCGAAAACACTGCCAGGATTTAATACTGGAATTCTACAACGACTGGACTCAAACTTTTGCCTCCTACTGTATATATACATTTTTTTTTGAGGACAAGTATAATCTTTTCGGAATCGACCTTTCACGATGAGCTAAGATCCTGTCATAAACTTTGAGACAAGGTACAGGGAAGAAGGTTTGCGGGATAAATGTTTTTATGTGTTTTTAATTATTATCTGCTGCCAAGACGAACTTGTAATAAGGAGAGTAAAGATTTTCCTTTGTCACAATTTAGTTTCCCTCTCACGTCGTTTCTCAACTCGTGCATTGGGTGCGTGGGTTGGTCCTGGTTGGTCTAACCAGGCTCAAAAGAGAAAACATCATTTATCACCTTGATCTTGCTGCAGCAACACACAGGGGGTGCTCATCTGAAATCACACCTTTCCCCATTGGCGTCGGTAGAAATGGTAATTGAAATCTCTCCACAAACTTACAAATTTCTTTCTCCGCACGACCATATCCAGCACCTTTAACAGCAAAATTAACTATACAGATGAGTAACTAACCAAGTTAATTCAGCCAGCTTTTGGTGTCAATACTTCCCGCTGAAAGTTAACATTAAAATAGGACTGTTTCATTTCTGCTTGGAAAAATATTTTTCTCCGTTTTCATACGTTTACTGTAGGGGAAAAACACATTTCTTTGTAAATGGTTTAAGGCATGTTTTATTGCCACTACGAGGGGCCAATCAATCCACGCACCTTTTCCAATGATAACTAACGGTTGTTTTGCCGATTTCAAGATGGCCAGAGCGTGTTCAACATCAGTTGGATCTGCCTGAGATGTTGGCGGCGGCAAGCAATCTGGGACAGCACTAAAATTACAGCATATTTCGTAATTTATTTAAGTGTGCATTATTCCGAGGTCACCGCAGTAGCAGCCACAAAAACATGAAGTAATGAATATGCAAATATATTAAAAACTACAACACCTTATAGAGTCTCTTGTTGTACCAAGCACCATGTCACCTGGAATGTCAATATAGGATACACCAGGACGACCATAAATACTGCTACGAACAGCCTGGAAAGAATTAAAAGAACTACTAATGTCAAAAAAGATTTAGTTTGAAATTATTCAAATAAAATCGACAATTTCAAAAGCGTACAATTATTACCTCTTGATTCTGCTATACTGGTACCGGGTAGTCCCCATTCATAATGGATAATATAGCACGAAATACTTCCAACATAAGCATACTAATTTTTTTCATGAAAAAGATAACCTTTCTACTTCAACAATTACCTTTTCAATGATAAATGGAATGCTTGCGACATTGTTTGGTCGACTGGCGTACTTAGTGTACAGACGAGAGCTTTCAACCTGGAACATACATATATTAAGAGATGATCTAAGGTCTTCGGAATCACCATCGGATTTAGGTTTCACCTACTTCGTCGCATGAAAACAAGCGCAAAAAATGCACCAGGATATATACATAGCAAATATAGTAAATACAAACCTGGGGGAATTCTTGGAAGGCTCCTCTGCTCTCCTGGTCTCTATCGCTACTACCACCAATGACTATCAATGGCCTGTATGAAAAATACCAGAAGGTAAAAATTTCAGACCATCACCACTACACATTCCTAAATATTTAACATCAATATTTTCTGTGAAATTATGCTTCATGTTCTTTGCACACATCTGAGTAATCACACCATGTTAATATCTCTATGGATAAGAAAAGTTACAACATATTACCAGCAATTAACCATTGCATTTGCCATCCCACCTAGGGCATGGAGCAGACCAGGACCAGACACAACTAGACAAACTGCAGGTCTATAAAACAAACAACAATTAAGGATTTCTGTTGGTTAGAAAAATGGCAGATTTGAGATGTTAAAATTTAAAATATGCTACCTTTGTGTTAAATAGCCAATAGCAGATGCTGCATAACATGCCTGAAAAAAAATAAAAAATAAAAAAAATTTTCAGCTCAACTAATTTGTCTCATGTTGATTTGAAAAAGTCATGGAAAAAGCCCTAATCCTGTCATGTTGAAACAAAAAATTTTGAATGGAAATAATCATGAAATTGGGTCTACTTACTGACTGTTCATTTCTCATGCCAAAATATTTTATTCCTGAAGCTTGTGCAGCAATAGCAATTTCAATAACTGGTATCCCAACAACTCCAAACATATATTTGACTCCCTGTTGAACAAGCGCTTCACAAAGAACTTGACATCCTTGAATGGAATCCATCTAGAAGGTTTTCAGTTCTTTACTATAATTTATAGAGAATACAGTTGTCTATTATAATTTATATAATAACCTAAAGAATTCAAGCAATTTCATTGGTCGAGAGCCATGATCTATAAAAGGACAGACGCACGGAATGACGTCACAGCGATTTTCTTGTTTTTAAATTGCAAACAAATAATTCAATTAATTTTGGATTTTTTTCAGTTTTATTATATAAAACAAATAGATTACAATGAACCGTTGTCTGTTCAGTTATAGATACACGGTATGACGCCATATGTGATAAGAACAAAAGAGTGTTCGCCCCGGCGGCTCGTGGCCACTTTTTTTGTTCTTATCACATATGACGTCATACCATGTATCTATAACTGAACAGACAACAGTTCATTGTAATCTATTTGTTAAATAGCTGTAGTTAATAATAATATAGAGAATACAGCTGTAGTTGATAACCTGATCAGGAGCAGTTGAGAAAAATGCAGCAACTATCTAAATTTATTTATCCAAATCAAACTCCTATATCTGATAGGGAGTCAATAAAGAAAGGATGAACCTTCCCTCATTTCATTATGCAATGTAACCAGATCTGGTAATATTTGGTAATATTTATGCTAGATTCGGTCAGATGCACATAAAACAGCACCACCTGATTTTAATAATAATTAAATTTAGTCCAGTAGAGGGCAGTCTAACTAGACTTGAGCAGCTTTGCTCATAAAATGTTCATATCTGCATGGTCACACTGCTCCACAATGCACAAACGGTTAAAAACATTCATGAGGCAGGGTAAATTTGCCAATACCAGCACAGAGAGGATACGTAGCCAAGTACTGCTTTCCACTTAAAGATCGAAAAAACGCAGGGATTCGAGTTGGTGCTCCTAAATAAAATTGATTCCAATTTGCAGAATGCCCCTTGGCCTTTAATAGTAATAATTTACGAAGTGGCTAGACAGCCGGCAGCCGGCTGTATAGTTTTTACTTGTCAAGCCTAAATAACCGGCAGCCGGCCATATTGTTGCTTGAAGTCAGCTTGAAATACTAAACGGCCGGCAGTATTCTTCGTTTGCGATGGCGTAATTTCGGGATTTCAGTTGGTGTGCAAGTATGAAGAAATATATTTTTGTAAGGCTTCTAGTCAATATCGTTGCTGGAACCAAAAATTATGTAGTGCCAGGTTTGGTTAATATTAAAGTATGTATATAGACTGTATAGACGGGTTGCAATGTTTGTGTTGGAGGCGGAAGTACTTATTATTAAACTACAAAAATTAATGATTGGTCGCTTGATGTTGTTAAATCTATGTTAGTGAAAATGATTTATTGATTTCTCTTCTGCCTCCAGTGCAATCTAAACAAATTACGTCACGAGAAATCCATCTTTACATCAAAATGTGTAAATATGATTTTAGTTATCAAAATATTATTATTAAGTATAAGTGTTCATTGTCTTATATACCAAAGTCTAGTAATTAGTGACCAGTTTTATACGTGCTTAGCTTTGCATTTGCTGCAAAACCAATTCCTTGTCTTGGGTGGTCTTTTCAGTGAAGTACATTTAATATGATACCAACACAGGCACCTTTCACATGCTACACTTTCATCTTTGCTGCTGATTGTGGTTGAACATCCAGGACATATCCACTTTGTCTTGTTCTTTTTTTCACTGACATTAAGAACAACTTTCCATGCATTGGCAACAAAATATTTCTCAATCCTATTCAAATCGACATTCTCTTTGTCACGAATCATGTCTGGAAGCTTAAGAGGATTTGTTTCGACTTCTTCTGGTGGTATTAAATCACCACTTTGGATTGCGTTGTTAGCAACTGAACAACGGACAAAGCACTCTAAAAGAATCCTGTCCTTTTCTACTGCTTTCACCTTGCAAAATGGCAGCAACCCTTTCTTTGCTTTCTTTACTTTGGGTAGCCCAATGACAGTTAATTCCGCTCCTTTGGGCCTTCCTCTCTTGAGCATTTTCGGTGGCATTTTTATGTTTTTAAGCTCTTTCTGCTTGCAATCATTTTCTTTGCTCTTTACTTGTGAAGATGTACCAGCAGTCTTAGACTTATCAGCGAGGATGGTGGGAGAAGTTTTGGCAACGTCACCTGGAACATTTGATTTGTTTTTGTTTCTACTGGCCTTCTTTTGATCACGGGGAATGGGACCAAAATCTCTTTTATCATAGGGTATGTCATGATCTTTGTTACGAAAATGTTCGTTTTGGGTTTTGGTGGGCTTTTCTTCATCAATATTTGTTGTGTCTTCAGTGTTGCTGCATCTTCCAAGACTGTCTTGTGCTTGCCAAAGGTTGAGAATTTGTTGCAGATCAGCCATTCTACTGTCAAATGTCTTCATTCCGCCTTCACTTGCCAGTGAAGCCAGGGTTCGTGCCACATTCATTGCCTTGTGGAATTTCTGGGCTTGCGTCAAAGTGGTAGATTTCTCTTTACTTTCATGAAGGACATCGACGTTGCTGATGCCGCATGTGGTTGGCACATTGGCTGCCTCAGAAGCTTTATTATAGTATTCAACGGTCCATCTGGCAGAGAGGAGGGAAGGATCAAATCGAGATAACTTAAGCGCAGTTCTGGCTTTAAGGATGTGTCTACATGGAAGTCCCATTTTCACAGGATACGTGCATTGGCAAGTGTTACCTGACACTGTTACTTCACCATAGGTACAACTCTTTATTAAAACTTTGTTCTCGGACAAAACCTGTTGTACGGTTAAACGTTTGGCAAGTTCAACTTGACGCTTAAGGTGTTTGAAAGCGTATGGTGTTAGAACTTCAGCATATGTGCGGATGTCCTCCTCACACGATTCAATTGATATGGGCTTGCGTAATGTTGCCATAAATTTTCTGGTGTGTCCTTTCATTCCGCAATGTTCCAAGGAGTGCAAACATTTCTGTAAAAAATTGTAAAAGTGTTGCATAGCGAGAGCAAACACTTTTAATCTTCGCATTAGCACTCTCTAAACGATTGTTGGTTGTTTCACCAAGGTTAAAAGTTGAATCCTTAAAACAAGAAACCCATTGCTCTTTTATAGGGTGCCAATTGTCAAAGAAATAGTTTCTTACAGCTTTTGATTTGGTTTCCTTTAACAGATTTACGTTTTCTTCATAGGCTTCTTCTGTTTTGGAATAAATTATTGCGGTTAATATCTCAAGAACTCTGTCCCGTTCACCTGACGTTATCCCCATTTTCTCAACTGTTATCTCCCTTCTGAAAGTTCGAAGTGTATGATAAAGGCATATAAGTAGGGATGCGCTGGGAAAGCATTTGGCGAAGGCTTGACGTTCTGTGAAATCCTTGTCGGACATGATTACTGTGTTACATGTACATGTGAGCTAAAATATACTATACAATATGTCATATGTAGTACACTAATAAAGTAGTCTACTCTGCTAGTCCATGCATGCACATGTCATACATACACATAGTGTCCAGTGTTTATCTTCATTGATAGGGAACATGAGCAAGTCACTTAGAACTGAACTATCCTAAAAAATACAAATAAATTATTATTTTTTCATATGTAATTAACAGTTGACTATCTAGCAATATCTTGTTATTTCTCAACATAATTATAGTGTTGCAACATAAATAATGCATACAATTTAGAGCAGTACTACTTAATTGATCGAGGTATTGTCAGTCACTTTTAAAAACAGAAAAAATGTAATTAACACATGATTGTTTTATTATTTTGTTTATTGTTTTACCACCTACAGAGATGCACCATTCCTTTTTAGACTTTCGGACTAGGCAAGTTAAACAGTATAGCTTAATCCCCTACTACTTTAAAAAAAGGGGTAAGCATTTTCCACACAAATACAAAAATATAAAAAATTTGCCAACATCACAGGGCTATATATTTTCTGTATTTTACATGTTTTTTCTGCTGTACTGTTAACTTTCGAAATTCAAAAGAGGAATGGCGCATTGATATTATTAATAATATAGCCTGCAAGCAGGCTCTCCAGTTGCTACAGGTGTACCTTGTCCATCCATCTAGCAAATGAATTGGAAAATTCCTCTTTTTTAAACTTTGTGAAACAGAAGCTGTTTTTAATTGTGATTGATACATTCTGTAAGAGACAATATACATATATATACCAATAATTAATTAATCAATCAATTATAACATTAACATATACAGTAAACCTAGCAATGCTCACCTATTCTAATTATTATCAGAGAACATGCAATGGAATATATGATCAAGACACATATAAAATTCATAACACATGTACACTATTGTGTAGTAATACCATACAGTGCAATATCATGGGACACCATGGTTGCCTTGAATGTATGCATGGTTTTGCAATTGGCCATGTATTCCTCAACAGCTTATAGTATAATAGTGTGTTTAGACATAGCATCCTTGATTAATTGATTATGAAGTGCATGCATGTATGTAGCATAACATAATGAATCATATACATACAGGCATCTTCTGTGCGCATTCTTGTAGAAGATTTCCATAGAAATTTATTATCTAGAAAGGAACCAAACAATTAATGATTATAAATTAGTAACCTCTAAGGAAAGCTTGCCTTATCCTTAAGCTGCAAAACTCTCCCTTAAATGAGTGTAAGTTCATCTGTTGGACAGAGTATAAATACCATACAGTAAACTAGTAATGTGGCAATGCATTGTAGTAATCAACAGTGGGTCAAAGTACGGCCCACCATAGAACTCTGCACCGTAATGGGAAGCACCAACAAGAACAGAATGATACAATACTGTAGGGATGGTACTGGCTGGATTATACAAAGCGGATTTAATTCCTTAGGGGTATATTTAGTCAGTTGGGGAGGGGGGGGGGGGGGGGCTAGCAAATGTGTGGATGACCATTCGATGACCACTTGCACTATGGTTAGCTTTGCCATTGGGATTTGGGAAACAGTAGCCATACGCCAAATGGATTGTATAAAGCTTGTCTTACCTCGTCATTGAGCCACTGATTATTAGATACCTGTACTAGGCTTAGGTTGATATTTGCTGCGATCTCTTCTGAACAAATAGTTTAAAATTTAGTAAATAAAGTAAATATTTGAGTTTGAGCAAGATTTCTAAGTGTATTCCAATTTACCTTTACTGTTTTCAGCCATATGGATACAATCTTGGAAATTTGTATTACAAATTGACTTGTTGAATATTCCAACTTCCCGCCATCTGTATATACCGCGTAGGCGCGCAATAGCGTGTCTTTTTCGCGCGTCGCGCACGTTTTTGTTCCCAGGTTATTAGGGGCCAGACAGCGCTTTTGCAATAATACATATAAACAAAAGCTTCTGAGTAGTGGTTTTACTGGTTTATACGAGTCGCAAATATCTTGTACTCGAAACCATTTTCTTCAAACAGAGAATAACAAGTAAAAAAAGGGGAAAATATTCGGATTCCTCATGTATGACGGCTCAATTACTGCAAATTATTTATAAAACAACACGATATATATACAATGGCATTTAATAAACTTTATTCGTGCGAAAATACGAATTCTTGGCATTTTGTATTAGGATACTCGTGTAGACAATACGTGGATACTGCAGATTAGATAACTGCCGGCCGTTTAGTATTTCAAGCTGACTTCAAGCAACAATATGGCCGGCTGCCGGTTATTTAGGCTTGACAAGTAAAAACTATACAGCCGGCTGCCGGCTGTCTAGCCACTTCGAATAATTTAGTATTATGAATTTAAATCAATGTAGTTAATACCCCATAGGCCATTGAAGCTTGAATATAATAGAAGCTTGAATATAACAAATGCTTGAATATGAACAAATAAAGAAAAACTCGAGACTCGCCTTTGATTTATTAGTGAAACACCACTTTCTAGTTTTTTGTCTGTGGTTCAGTGGTTGCTGCGGAGCGAGCGAGCCTGAAGCGAGCGAGCGTAGCAGCAGTCTAATTTGTGCAGAGAGGGGGTTCTGAACTAAATTTTATTTAGCGCAAGGAATTGTGGTCGTGCGCGTTTTTTATGCGTAGAACACACAGGATCTTCAAATTTTTGTTAAATTTCAAAGCTTCTGTTCTATTTTGACTATTCAAGGTAAGATATTTTCATCTTTAGTTCATATGTTACGTTTACAGTTGTTTACAATTCTAACTGGTATATTTATGAAACGCTAAAAGCATACAATCGATCACAGCTAGATTCATGCTGTATATATACGAACTATATAAATCATTCTAGAATATTAAGATGTACTATCCAATTTGCTAATTCGCTTTACTTTAGCAGTTGAGCTGTCAGTGCTGTGAAGCAAATCAAGTCTTACATACAGATGCTTTAAAGTCTTTTTTATCCATTGACATTTGTATTCTTTTGCTGATTTCCATATTTTGCATCAAATGATGTTTTAAGTATGCGGCTTGACGCTTGCGAGTCGTGTTTAATAACATGACACAGTCGCAGATAAAATATGCAATTGAATTGATCGTCTAAATTGCCTGACTGAATCGCTCAGATTCGTGAAATGTTTGACTTATTTAAAATTAGGTTACTGTAAGCATAGGCATATGTTTTTATTCCTATTTTACAATGAGCTAAATGTTTTTGTTATTTAGTGCTTTTACCGGATCTTCACGTGGTTTCTGATTACACGTCTTCTCGAGCGCGTTCAAAGTTCAAAGCATTAAGTGATGTTTTGTTACTCTTCACATGAAGTCAAACATTTACATGGATACAACAAAGACACATAGCATATTTAAAAAACAAATATCCATGTTACCAAAAAATGTTCTATTTTGTTAAACATGTGCTACTGGGCCTGTATTTTCGCTTTGTTGCGGGAAAAATGTCGCCACGCGCGCAAAATTCTACCTAATATTACTATTAGTGTTAATACTCCTGTTGTGATTCGTATGTTAAAATATTTTTAAAACTAGCTGCTTCTAAAGACTTTGAGACGAGCTGCAACTCGCAAGGAAGACGAGCTGCAACTCGCAAGGAAGCATTGATATAGCATATATTGACCTAAATATTGACGTCATTGACAGTGTTCTCGCTAATAGGTGTTAATTCATGTACAGCCCCAGCGAGTTATTGAGTTAACGCTCAATAGAGGTTCACTTTGCGTTTTTTAAACCTGCTATTGCTATTAGTTAAAACGGATTTAGTTTACTAACATTTCATATAACAATTAACTTGGACCCCAAAAATGCTCGCAGCAATCTCTTCCTTGCAGGTAACCTAGTTATATGGGTTATATGGTTCGAAAAATTAATCGAATTTCGACGTTCTATATCTTGAATTTCACCAAATTTCACCAACACCTCCCCCCCCGGCCACTGCCAAGCCGCAACTAAGGTTTTAGCTTACAAGCGCGCAATACGTGAGGGTAATTGGTTATCAACTTTTCATTGCAATGTTTCATTGGACCATGTAAAAGCCTGCAAATAGAGATTATAACATTGAACTTGATAAAAACGATTCAAAATATGGCAGAAAAATTATAAAGGTTTGCTGATACAACCAAATTGGAAAGAGATACCGTGGAGCTACCCTTACAATTATTCCTAATTCTGTTCTTCGGACTTCAATAATCCAGGCATTTAAAAAAATATTTTTATACATAACAATCCTTTCGTACCTCTTTGAAGCTGGTGTTACTGTGTTTGTTCATGACTCTTATCCAGTTTATTGTAGCCTTGGGTATTTGTCCCAACCTTTTTGAAGGAGTAGGTGCAGCCTTTAAACCAAGAACTGGTTTTGGTGATGCTTTGTGTGCTGAGCAAGACATCAAGTGTCCAAAATGTTTGTAGAAGTATGTAATGGTCTTGGTTGTATCAGAAAAATTTCATAATTTTGCTGCCATCGCATTGGATTTGTTGATCTTTTACGCTCAGATCCATTACGGCAACTCGTGTTTAGCTATATTAATTTAAGAAGATATATTAAAAGAGCGCAAACATAACCGATTAAAGATCAATCGTACAGATCTACTATCGATGTTTACTGTTGACACTGTTCCCCTGCTCTTTGAACTCGGTTCTTGTTCAAGTATTCCACAAAACGACAACCTCAATTCCTGACATGATCTCAAATGCTCCTCCGTTTCTAAAGCTCGCCAAAGAAACATAGATTCAACGCTAACAAATCATCAAAATTGGTTGTGGCTTTAACGGCTAAGTGCATGTCTGTAATTTTACTTCGATTCAAAAACTTGTGAAATAAAAACTTGTGAAATAAATACATACAATTTAGGCCCAAAGTGTACCGGCGAGTCAAGCGGCTATACCGCTAAAACACAAAATTAACAAAACATTTTAGCAAACTAAGCCGTTCAGTCATTTATATTGAGTTTCCTTTCGAGTATGACGATTGTTTCAAAACACTAAAAGAATATCAAAGCACTAAAGTTTCTCGCTAAAAACACTTAAAAAACGTTTAGGCGTTTAAATCATGTCATTTCCAAGCGTGTGCCTTATTAGTCGTTTTCTATGCATATGCTTGTTAGAGACCGCCTCCCGAGACCAGGAAAAGCTTAAATACGTTAAATTTATCTTCGCTCTCAGGGCTAGCCACTGTAGCTGATTCGTCTATGACGCTAGGCTAGTGGCGATGCATACTCTGTTTCTCACTGAGACGTAACGGTTAGGTGCACATACATCATGGTCTGGGGGCCGTAGTGCATCTCCCCCTTAGACGGCCGTTAAGATGTGAGTTATGGGGGGGAGTTCTTCCTATAGCAACTGTCCTTGCACCTTTCGCAGTTGTAATCATGTTGGTATATTGCAGCCGGTTGTATCACCAGGTTAGATTGTGGCATGAGCTGGATGAATCTCTTTTGGGTGTTTTTAGGTTGTTTCCAAAAATTTTTTTTCTTTCCAAGTTTTTCTTTTACATGCAAAAAACACTGTTATTAAACATATATGGAACGGATATGGTTCGAAAAAAAATTATATCGACTAAAAACCACCTTGATTAACCCCTGAATACTCTCCCCAGTCTCTGCATGATATAGGAGGCAATGAATTAAACAATAGCAGAGTTCATTCATAAACATCAAACATTTACTGTATTATCAGCATTTTGATCAACCTTACAGCAGTAAAACAGCAACAAAGACATTCAGACAGTCAACTCTGCATTCTCGTTAGTGCATGCCTTCAGCGCGAGAACTGTCGATCAAAAGTCTGGATAAATCACCTGGCTTTCCCTGCGAGTTTTCAAATTCATATTTCAAAATATCTGCATGACATTGAAAACAACTCGAGATTTTCTACTAATTGTGGACTTGCTTTATTCATTAATGCTCCATGAGATACTTTGAACAAAGACTTCACCATTGTTGGGTATACCAGTGCAGTATGATAATCCAGGTAGTTAGATCCCAATGGTAGACCATGCATAATCTCGATGAATCACCCTGAATTCCTCTGTAGCTAAATTTCATTCCACAACAAGAAACACGGCATGTTTATGGCCATTTTAAGAGCACATTCAATTGTTATTCCCAATTGATTGCATATAAAATCCAACTTTGATTTAGTTTCAAATACATAACTTCGAAGCTTGGGACGGCACTTGTAGAGAAAGTGCATGGACAAACCTACTGCGACCATTCGAATCCTCGCCACAATGAATCGAACCACGCAGGTAACATAAGCTGAACCCAAAGTTATAGCCAAACTTAACATCAGCACAGGGGGTGCTTTTCAACATCTCTCCGCTCAATGAAGGCTCGTCGAGACAGTTAACCAAGACCATTACATACTTCTACAAACATTTTGGACACTTGATGTCTTGCTCAGCACACAAAGCATCACCAAAACCAGTTTTTTGTTTAAAGGCTGCACCTACTCCTTCAAAAAGGTTGGGACAAATACCCAAGGCTACAATAAACTGGATAACAGTCTTGAGGATTTGTTGATCTTTCACGCTCAGATCCATTACGGCAACTCGTGTTTAGCTATATTAATTTAAGAAGATATATAAAAGAGCGCAAACATAACCGATTAAAGATCAATCGTACAGATCTACTATCGATGTTTACTGTTGACACTGTTCCCCTGCTCTTTGAGCTCGGTTCTTGTTCAAGTATTCCACAAAACGACAACCTCAATTCCTGACATGATCTCAAATGCTCCTCCGTTTCTAAAGCTCGCCAAAGAAACATAGATTCAACGCTAACAAATCATCAAAATTGGTTGTGGCTTTAACGGCTAAGTGCATGTCTGTAATTTTACTTCGATTCAAAAACTTGTGAAATAAAAACTTGTGAAATAAATACATACAATTTAGGCCCAAAGTGTACCGGCGAGTCAAGCGGCTATACCGCTAAAACACAAAATTAACAAAACATTTTAGCAAACTAAGCCGTTCAGTCATTTATATTGAGTTTCCTTTCGAGTATGACGATTGTTTCAAAACACTAAAAGAATATCAAAGCACTAAAGTTTCTCGCTAAAAACACTTAAAAAACGTTTAGGCGTTTAAATCATGTCATTTCCAAGCGTGTGCCTTATTAGTCGTTTTCTATGCATATGCTTGTTAGAGACCGCCTCCCGAGACCAGGAAAAGCTTAAATACGTTAAATTTATCTTCGCTCTCAGGGCTAGCCACTGTAGCTGATTCGTCTATGACGCTAGGCTAGTGGCGATGCATACTCTGTTTCTCACTGAGACGTAACGGTTAGGTGCACATACATCATGGTCTGGGGGCCGTAGTGCATCTCCCCCTTAGACGGCCGTTAAGATGTGAGTTATGGGGGGGAGTTCTTCCTATAGCAACTGTCCTTGCACCTTTCGCAGTTGTAATCATGTTGGTATATTGCAGCCGGTTGTATCACCAGGTTAGATTGTGGCATGAGCTGGATGAATCTCTTTGGGTTGTGTTTTAGGTTGTTTCCAAAAATTTTTTTTTCTTTCCAAGTTTTTCTTTTACATGCAAAAAACACTGTTATTAAACATATATGGAACGGATATGGTTCGAAAAAAAATTATATCGACTAAAAACCACCTTGATTAACCCCTGAAT